TACATACATACATACATACATACATACATACATACATACATACATACATACATACATACATACATACATACATACATACATACATACATACATACATACATACATACATACATACATACATACATACATACATACATACATACATACATACATACATACATACATACATACATACATACATTACATACATACATACATACATACATACATACATACATACATACATACATACATACATACATACATACATACATACATACATACATACATACATACATACATACATACATACATACATACATACATACATACATACATACATACATACATACATACATACATACATACATTACATACATACGTACATACATACATACATGCATACATACATACATTACATTACAATGCATTACATTACATTACATTACATTACATTACATTACATTACATACATACATACATACATATGTACATGCATACATACATACATACATACATACATACATACATACATACATACATACATACATACATACATACATACATACATACATACATACATACATACATACATACATACATACATACATACATACATACATACATACATACATACATACATACATACATACATACATACATACATACATACATACATACATACATATGTACATGCATGCATACATACGAGAGAGGGAGAGTGGGGAGAGAGAGGCTTGGGGGGATGGGGAGGATGGGAGCAGAGGGAGGGAGAGAGGACGACAGAACACACAAGGGAGACAAGGAAGAGAGGAAGAAGGAGAAAAAGGAGAGGACAATGTCGGCGGACTGAGCCGGAGGCTCTAAAGTATCATTTACTCACGACAATGTGCACCATCAGCCCCGATCTTTGGCCCATTTGGTCTCTGGCCAAAGATCAGCAAGGCCCCGACCTCGGGAGCCTTTTGCCTCTTGGGCGCTTAGAACCAGAAGCCGCAAACGCTGAGCTCATTTCTTCCTTTGAAAGCCTCAGAGAGGCAGCGCCATCTTCCTCGCGTTGCTTCTTGGTTGCTTGTTTTTTTGTTTTGTGCTTGGTTGTTTGCTTGACTTTTGTGCTTGGTTGTTGATTGTTTTTTGTTTGGTTTTTGATGAAGCGCCATCTTAAGCTCTCGGCCCCGCAAACGCTGAGCTTGGCCTCGGCCCACCCCCCACCCGATGGCCTCGGTGTCCACCTCCGGGGGATGCTCCTGACGAAAAAGCCACCGCAGATCGGGACCAAACTCTGCGGGAGAAAAGCTTGAGTATCCCAAAGTTGGAAAGCTTCTCTCTTCTAAAAAAAATAAATAAAAATAAATAAAACAAATGACCCAGCCAGATCTCTTGAGTGGATTGGGCAGAACATGTTGAAACATACGCCTCACCGGTCAAGACGCGTCTCACGGGAGCTATGGGCTTAGGATCGGCAGGCCCTGTGGAGGACGATGAACGATGAGCCCTCGCCTTATAGCCCAATGCCACGTACTCCTATCTCTTGGCATGGTAGCGATTTTTTGTTGGTTTTTTGCAGACCCCCAGTAAAAATGAACAGAACCAAAAAACTGAACAACCAAAAACATGCCAAGAACAGACAACCAGGGTATGTTTGAAGGGACCAGTGTAGTTACGGCCCGCGGGGGGGGGGGGGGGGGATTTGCACGTAGAGACAAAGACAACGCTGGCCACTCTCATGAAATTCCCTGCGGGGAGCAGGCAAACTTGAACTGTCGTGAACCTTGTTTAAAGATCTTGGCAAATGTCCATACTTTGCGTGAATAAGGGCATCCAAGTAAGGGATCTTCATCATGCACGCGCTCAGTTTGCCTCTCAAGTCAATTTAACTTCGGCAGGAAGATTCATTTTCACCAGTGGATCACCCAACTCCCTTTGGCTTCCTCACTTGCAACACAGGACCTAGAATCCAAAAGCGGGCTTGCCTCAACAGGGGGGTTCGAGGGCGCCAGCCAAAGGACCCAGGTTGGGCTATTGGGTTGCCAACGCACTGGAGGGCAAATGACAACACCCCCTTGGCGTTGCGTGTAAGACCCCACTGGTCGGAGTGTGTCGGTCACCGCCGAGACCGAAACATGTTTGCCTTAAATCGAACTCTTCAAATGAATATAACAAACGCGACGGCTGAATCGACAGTCGACACATGTGTGCCGTAGCTCTTCCGCCGCTTGCTGTTCCGCCCCCTGGCTCTCCTGTCCATACCTTCGGTGGAGCTCTTTAGTGGTGCACGTAGGAACCAAGGAACCTCATGTAAATTCCAATGCTTTGACAGCGGTTTGCTTGCAATACTTGGAAGGTACCGGGTGACTGGCTGAGGCCTAGCATAAACTTGTCAATACAAGGGGAACCCCCAAAGTGGTGGTGGTCCTTTCGGTTTCCCTTTAAACCCACTTGTCAAGGGTACCCTCAACAAAACACAAACGCCCACTAACTCACGCAACGCTTGTCCTCCTTGTCGGTGTAGCCGAGTGCAGGAAATTCCGGAGTGTCTTCTTCGGGTATATCCTCCTGCACAAAATCCACACATTGTCTTGTATCACATGTGTATTTCCGAACAATTGATAGACCCTTTTTCAGATGGTGTTAAAAGGAAGACCAAAACAATACAAACCAGTTGTAGGTGTGCAAAAGTGTTGCTGGCAAAAAGGGCAAGCCCACTAGAGAAGGCAGCTCGGACAACATATGGTGGCTCTTGGGTTTGCTCTTTCGCCAAAGTCTGTGAGCCAAGCTTATCTTACCAAGAGAAAACCAACTACCCTCCAACTCACTAACCCGCCCATGTGGAAATATGGAACCTACTTGGGGGGGTCCGGACCCTTTGTGGTTCCATGATGTCTTAAACGGACCTTGCAAGGTGGACATCCACTCAAAAGCAAAGGAGAGGATCTTATGAATTACCTTTGCGCATCCCAAGATATGCATGGTTTCCTTTGCTTCATGTTTGTTCACCCAAACGCCTAGCATGTAACCAATGATCGTCTAGTCCATCTCAGGGTCTGAAAAGGAGAGTCTCTGGAGAAAATAACAAACATACCCCAGCCTCTAAGGGCTTTTGCTGGAGGGGCACATCCTTGTTTCCTTTGCCGACAGTCTTGGCCGTTTTGGCCATCCGGTCCGCTCGTCTCCTCCACCTCCTCCACCTCTGCTTCCTCTGCTTCCAGCTCCTCGCACATGCTGTCCACCATTTGCATGCCTACGAGGCATGCAAAAACCGTCGGGATGGGGTTCTGGCAAAAAACATGTTTCGCGACGCCTTTGACCTCCCGTTTGATGGAAACAAAGGTACCTCCGACCACCCAAAGGAGTGGTTCCTATGAGAATGGCCCGGAAGATGGTTGGCACCAGCTTTTCGGTCTAAACACCAAAGGGGTCCCAATTTAAGTCGCCCAGCATGAGGGCCAGGGTCCAGAGTGTGTATCCAAGTTAGCAAGTGAACCTATAGTTGGTGTCAATTTGCACGTGTCCCATAAGGGTGCCCCAAAAGGGGGACCATGATTTCCTCAACTTCATATCTTGGCCCAAGCCCCCAATGGTACACCCAACATATGATCATAATTTGACATTTAGTCTCTCCTATATCAAGATCAGGCCCTGGGCGTGAATGCTAAAGCGTCTGACTCCATCCAGTCAGTGTCTGCTCGGTTGCCGTCAATGGTGCTGCTGGTCTGCGATTGTCTGAAATTGGACACCCCTCCCACACAACATTTGTGGGAGGCCTGGAAGATCAATTTCCTCAAACCAAAAACTCTGTCAGGTGCCATGGCAACTAATCCTACAGGATCTTCAAAGGATACCCCATATGAGTGTCGCTTGAACTTGGCCACACCTCCAGGTGAGCGGTTGGCCTTTTGGCCAACACATGTGATGGATGAAACCCTACGGAATGGGGGAAAAACGCCTACCAACTGGTTCGAAGTGGATTTTGTCCCATGGAGGCAGGCCTTGTGGCTTCTGTCGTGCGTCTGTTGAAGTCACTGCCCCAGACTTAAATCTTTCATCCTTGCGTGACACAACCATCCCCGAGTAGCATTCATGGCGGCTCTTGCAGTAACTTATGGCTGGGACGAAAAGCCCGGATTCCCCCTGATCCGCCACATTCTTTCAGATGGTGCGCCTCATGGCAAGGTGCCAAACACCGTCCAATATGGAATTAAACGCAGGTGATGGGTCTCTTCTTCTGGAAATTCCCCTGATTCCCATGCCACTCCCTGAAATGACTCGGGCGTGATAAGGTGCCTCGAATTGGTGAGCTCCTTATATGAGCTACGGGGGTAATTATGTGCCAGAATAGGGCGCGCAAACAAGACTCTCTTTTGGACTCCCTTTGAAGCTGTAAGCCACCCCCCCCCCCACATACATACGCTACAACACACACACACACACACACACACACACACATATGCAGGAGACTTCAACAAGCGCGGCGACGATCCGCGACTCCGGCCATCCGACCTGCTTGGCTGCTGTCGCCCCCGTGCTTGGCCGCAAAGTCCGAACTCCGGCGCCTGAATCGTAAGGGTCTCCCCATCGAATCTAGATCCTCAAAAAGGCCCAGGTCCAACATCTTGATGGGGGCTTGGGGTGAGGAAAGGGGAAGGATGGAAGGATGGTGTCAGATAGATGTGTAAGAACCATTTGACACATGGAGATGACTGGAGCCACCCCGCCAGCTGTCCACCACAGCTCATCCCGATCGACCCTGAACCCACATCTCGCCACTAGCACACTGGCCAATCCGCTTTCATGGGAGCCCCCTGGTTCCTCACTAGCCCATAGAATATACCCGCCCCCCAAAAAGAAACAAGTCAGGGGGACCAAACCTTAAGCCTCAGCAAACACCATCCGATCGAGATTGGCCAAACAAATGTCAAGAAACTACTTTTCGTTTGCCACGAAAATGGCGCGAAGTCCGAACCCAAGTAACCAAAGTCCGAAACGCAACTCGAGCGGAAGTGAGTTGAGCAGCGCCAAATCCATTTCGTTCTGAGATGGTTGTAACGCGCGCGCGCGCGCGCGCGCTTTGTAGGCCACGAACCAAAATGAAACCACGCAGAACCAACCTACAGAAGAGCCCGACGGGAATGTCGGTGCCAAGTTGCCCAGCGACAGAAGAAGGACTGTGTGTTGCAGGAAACCCACCGAACAAAAATTGGAGTTTGCGGAAAGAACATCCACTGAATAACCCAGGCAGCTCAAACGAATCTATGATGAGCCCGCCTCCTCCGCGAGATTCTGGACAAGTACTTCATGAAGTCCTTGAAGGAAATGCTCGACTTGCCTGCAAAAGATGTCAAAGGACACCTGCTTCCACACTTGGTGCCAAGCACAACATCACAATATACCAGAATAACCAGAAGTTCCCACTCTCGGGGAGCGAAGGCGGGGAAGGGGAAGGGTGGGAAGGAGGTAAGAGAACCCTTCGTGTAAGAATTTTGTTTTCCCGAGATCGTGATCATTTGCGCAAGATGCCCAGGTCAGCAAACAGCAACACCCCGCACACGTTGAATCTGGAAGACCTTGTGCACATGCCGCAATTCTTCTCAAACAACTAATGTGTGAAATCAGGATTCACTACATGGAGCATGCCTTTTCTGGAGGGTACTTGCGGTCCAAGGGATCCTCTCTCTTCTTTTAACTGGGTGCGCCCGTTTCAGGTGTGTTTGTTGGCAAAACTGGAGACCACTGGAAAACTGCCACCTTTTCGTGAGCGTGCCGTTCTCTTTTGCAACAGGATGCCAAGTTGAAAGCCTGAGGTCTTTCATTTGCACACCGCTCATGGTTTCTTTTTGATCTGGCGGAAGTCCGACCAGACCCAAGATCGGCACCTGAGATTCACGAGAAATGAGGGCATTCCAACTCGGAAAGTGAGCCGAGTTGAGATGTTTTTTCTCCAGCCAGTAAAGTCCAAGAACTCGGGGGAAAGCCAAGGCCTGTTACAACCTTTGAGTTCCCTTACAACCATCAAACAGGAGCAGGGCTGTGGGATCACTCGAGCTTTATCCGACTTCTGTGATACTTTTGGGAATCTCGTTCTTTAGATGCCCAGTGGATCTCCATGCAGAAAAAAGAACCGGCATCCTTGTTCGGCTGGTTGAGTTTAAAGGGGAACCCTTCCAAAAAAAAGAGAAGAAAAAAGGAAGCAACCCACTGGACAACAGAAGGGGGAGGTTTGTCTTTGAATTTGGGGTAAGGCCCTGGTTGTATCACAGCGGTCGTTCCCCGCCCAAAATTTGGAGCGGATGCCGATGGATCCAAGGCGCTGCCCGCGATCTCCTCCATCACCTCATCCACCGTTTGGCCATTCGGCAGGACCTCCACCAAAGGTCCATCTCCTGAAAGAAGAGACAAACCGAAAAACACGGCGCCTGACCAAAAAAAAAACTGTTGCCCCCAAGAGGAGATGGGAAAACACATCATGGCCACGAAACAAAACCACCTATGGGTGGGGGTCAAAAATAGGTACCCAGAATGGACGTCGGCAAATGGTAAGAAAGACTAAAGCCAGTCCATATCCTGGTGGTTTCATTTGACTCATACCTATATCTCAAAAGGCGGGTGGAGGGAAGGAGCTGCCGGGTTTCGCATGCCCAGTTCCCAGTCAAAGGTGACACACCACCCAAACAAAAACCACCGGGTTTCCCCCAGGAGGACCTGGGAAGACCAAAAAGGGGCCACGAGCTTTCGCGGGCAACTTGGGGTTCCCCCAGCCTCCATGTCCTCAGACTAGGCGGGTGGAACATAAGACAGGCTCACGAGTGGGTCTAAAGCAACTGGCAGCCTTTGACTCGAAAAACAAATCCAGTAGTGATAGATTCCCTTTAAAACCAACAGGGGAAAATGAAGATATGTTTAACCAAATCCAAGTAATTGGTGGTTTAGAAGTTGAAAAGGGGAAAAACAAAAAACACGCCTTTGAGGTCTCAAAATGGGGAAGCCCCCTTGGTGCAAAAGGGAAACCAACAAGAAACCAACTAGCCGAGGGATCCAAATTCTACATGTCCCTCAATGGACCAGTAATCCAATGCATCAACTACTCCCTCCCCAAAGTCGGTGAAAGCCATTTGCGAGAATACGTGAGGGTACTGACTGTGCACTCAACGGAGGGGGGTTGAAGGGGGAGGGCCGTTGAAGGAACCCTGAGAAGCTCAAATGGCGTGGCGTTCTTATGATATTCTTATGGCTTTCGTTCAACACACGTTTTACCTCCCTCGACTTACTGCAAAACGGTACCCGTGGAAGGTATCTGGAAGATCAGTGTTCCTCTTGACGAGCTGTTGTCAGGTGCCATGTCAGTGAGATGAAGGGTAGTTCAACTCCCACAGATCGTACAACAATTCATGCGTCTGGAGTATCAAGGAACGTTGATGGGTGAGTCGCGCACCAAATCCCTTGGTGAGTTCGCGATCTTGGCAGGATTCCATGCAGCAAGTTGCAATGACGGGCTGTGGAAAATCCACCCGTTCTGTATCTGAGACGAAGCCCATCCCCCCATGAACACCATCCACCGTGTTTATCGAAACATGTGGGGGTTCATGAAATGACCAGGGTAGCTTTTCCCATGTGGTGGACATATCATTCATCTTTTCTGGGCTGTCCTCAGATCCCCCGCTAACAGTTTAACTTTTACTTGGTTAAATGGACATCCCCACTAAACACTAAAAGGTTAAAAGCTAAGGAACCGGATGGCTGGGAGCCACCAAGCTTCTAGTGGCTTTCCAACCGTGATGGTCCCGCGTTTGCCGGAGCTTCTGATCAACCCTATGGGAAAACCTCCATTTGCTTGAGTCCCCTGGAAAAAATCCAGTAGTGATAGATTCCCTTTAAAACCAACAGGGGAAAATGAAAATACGTTTAACCAAATCCAAGTACTTGGTGGTTGAAAAGTTGAACAGGGAAATTCAACACGCCTTTGAAACAAAGAGTTGGGTAGGTATGGTAGGTCTCAAAATGGGGAATCCCCCTTGGTGCAAAAGGGAAACCAACAAGAAACCAAATGGAAGAAAAACGCCCCAAGCTCTTGGCCGTTGGAGGCGCGGGCGTACGCGCGGGCGTACGCGCGGGCGTCCGACGCGCGCGGGCGCCTGACATCATCACCCGCAGCTCCGAGAGGGAGATCTCCCCGTCCCCGTCGACGTCAAAGACATCGAAGGCCTAGCGCCCCAAGGTCTTTGGTTTCTCGGGACCCAAATCACGAGATGTGCCTAGGTCCTCCGAATTAGAGAGGTTAGAATAAGGTGGTACCAACTTTTTTTCTGTAGTCTGTTTTAGTAGGGGACCCCTCCCCCAAAAAAAGGGGGTAAAAAAGCACTACTTGGGGACCTAGCGATATATACCCTTATACACTGGCTATATCGTGGTTGTCTATCTCATGAAACCGATTTGGAGGCAATGCAGAGCATCTTAGACGCTGGCAATCAAAGCCACCGTGAGGAGCTGCCCCATGTCCAACCACAGAAGTGGGCAAAGTCTTAGGAAAGCTACAATACACGTCCCGTCTAAGGGTTTTTGCACCACACCCTGGGAATACACCCACTGGGTATTGACCCCATTTAGGCACATTTCCGGATAAAGCCGTGTTATTTTGAACCATTCTGGGTCATTTCCCAAGGGTGTAATCCCAGGGTGTAATCCAACAACCTTCAGATCCTGAGTGAACACGCTGTTTGACAAAAAAAATGCTCTTCCCACCAAGTGACTGACGTCCAGGAACTGCGAATCTTTTTTCGTCAACTCGCCATCTGCGCACGTTCTGATCCACCCCTTTAAAGGATGCCACGGCGTGGGCGTGACCCAAGTTGTGCGCTTCTGGCTTCCCATATGTTTGTAGCCTATGTTGGGCTTCCTTTTGACGCGGACAACCAGTAACAGTAGCACGCTTATAACTTCCAACTTATAAGTGTATCTGCCTTTTCAGCCAAGCTACTTTCCACTTAGCTGAGTTTAAAAAGGATTGCCTCTCCCCCCCAAAAATAAATAACAAACAATACTATGAAAAATGATAACAATAACAAGATGGATAACAATAACAATAATAGGAAAACAACTAGAACGGGTGCCCTAAGCCTGGCAAAAACTTTGGTTTGTTCCCCCCACTAGAAACGGGAAGGACCAACAAAAACAAAACCGCAGCAATAGATGCCAACCAATCCCCAATTCCCAGAGCCTCCTGGATCATCTTCTCGGGCACAGTGTCCATGGAGCTGGACAGCACCTCTCAAGAAAAGGTAAAGCGGTGGCGAGGTGTGATGCAAATGGGCACGCTGGCCGTCGTTAGAGTAACCGCCACCTGGGCTCACTTCCTGAGTTCATTGGACAAAAAAAAAGGTCTAACTTCTTGGTCTACCAAGATGGTCTTCCCATTCCATTCCATTCCATGCGCACAGAGTTCTGTCGAACGCAGCGATTGCATTAATTAAGCACATGCTTTCATGTGCCCACCCCAGCCGCATAGTCCGGCCCAATTTCTTGTGCCAGCGGCATGTTGGCATACTCAGCAAGCATGCTTTGGGAGGGAATCTCAGCAACATCAGTTTGCGTGGCTTCCCTTAGCTGAGCACTGACCAAGAAGCATTTGGCAAATGCCTTGCACAAGAGAGGAGGGTATTCCTTCAACCGGGATGTGCAAAAAGCTTCCCCATTGTGGCCAATGGATCTTTCCTTTGCCGGCCACTGACTTCGGGGCAGCTTGGTGGATTCGAGGATTCGCTCCCAACCTGGCAGGTGGGTCACCAGCAGGTCAGTCGGCTTTTCGGCTCCATATGGAAGGAAGGCGTGATTCCGAGGGCTCACCAGGATGCTCTGTAATGGTCACTCCACAACATGCGTACAGGTGTGCAACAACAAGCAATGCAGTTTGCAGGAGTTTGTTGCTAATCTGTAATTGCTTGTACTCCTTGGAACGCAGGGAGGGGAGTCCCCATGGCTGATGGGCACTCCTGAGTGGACGTGGCGCATTGGGCTTATCTGCTATCTTCACCTCCCTGGCACGTGACCATGTTTCACATGGCGGTCCTGCCTGTGCACCGAGAATGTGGCCACTACGGATGAGTGCAAGGATTTTTGCAACCAACTCATCAGAAGCAAGGTTACATAACTTTGCATTATGGACAACATCAAGGCAAATGACAAAGATGCGAAATGACTGCCCTATACTCATTTCTTCAAGATGACGGCGCATGCTACCCTCACGGTCTCTGCCAGAGAAGAGGTGAAGCACAAAATATGTACGAACCCCTTGGAAATTCATGGCCAGAGGATGTACCACGGGCGCCTGGGCAGTGAACCTGGTACAGCGCTTTTATCTTGCGCAGTCATCACATCGATTTGATGAACAGAGGTATTGGGGGTGTGTCCTGCCTTGCGCAGGTTCCTGCCCGGCATGTTGGGATTGTGTGTGTCCCGGCGTGCTCGCAGGGCCGGTGCCGCCCTCCAGAAGAGATCGATCTCTTCTGGGGAGTAGTCTTTGGCATTACTCTGCCTCCACTCAAGCTTGTTGGGGAGTCTCGGACCTTCCAGGAGGATGCAAGGGATCCTCTTGTGTCCTTTGAATCTGCTATCAAGCTTGATGTGAACCGGGGGCCCTGGAAGCGGCTCTAGATTCTGCAGGCAGAATTGCATGCAGCGAGGGTTCTCCCTGAGATGAACATTGACCCTATGGGATGTGTGAAATTCAACGAGACAAACAACACAGTGGGAGGCATATGTGTATGCACGTGTCTCTGAAGAAATTTGGTGGGCATGCCACTGATGGGCCGAGAGCCCCTGTCGGGTGGAGTACTCATTGCCGCACAAGTCACATCTGTGACCAAGTGGGCATGTCGGCGCGTCGGGTTGCCTACGCTCAACCTGCAAACCTATCTGCCCAATGGCACCATCAAAATTTTCACGCCAGTGTTCTAGGTCAGCAAGCAAGGTCAACTGTGTGACAGCGGCTTGGCAAGCCTTGATTGTGTCCCTATTCCACGCATTGCTACTCTTAGCAACATAGTTGAACAACTGGACCCAAGTATAGGTGGTTGACAAGCCATTAAAGGCATCAGGCACGACTTCTCTTACAGCTTCGATGTCGTGTTGAACAAGGGTCAACCAGGCACGCGACTCATTGACTTTGTACTCATTCAACAGAAGCTGACTCAAGAAGGCAGGGGCACCAGTTTGAAGGTGAACAAGATACCGCAATCTCATTTTACGCATCTGCCACTCAAGAGACGGACATCTGGCTTTGGCGAGGACATACAGGATTGAATGTTTTTGTCCATACTGCGTGACACACAAACCTGTGGCGGCCCTGAGAGCTTTCATGTAAAAGCCATTGATGGCCTTCGCAGAGCCACCATCTAGCACTCCCCATGCCTGTGCGCCGTAAAGGAGTTTACTGAAGACCGTGGCTTCAACAAAGGTGACTTTTGCAGTGACCGAAATTCCTTTGTTTCTGAAGACTCCAATCTTCAATTGGTGCAAGGCTTGGGCAGCTAGTGCTACACGTCTCCGTGTTTCTTCACGCAATGTGGCATCTGGCGCGACCAACCCTCCCAAATGACAGTATGAGGGCACAACTGACAAGTTGACACTGCTCCCATCATTTTTGGCAACTTGCAGCACCGATGAATTTTCAACAAGGAGTCTTCTGCGGGCTGTCTTCGCTTTGGGGCCTGCGAACTGAATCAAGGCTTCAGTCTTACCTTTATCCATGCTGATAGAAAGACCTACACTTTGAAATGCAGCCTCAGTTATGTTGACAGCTCTGGCTAGTTTGTCAAGCACTTCATCTTCGGAGGAGGCTTCAATGCAAGCGACCACATCATCTACCCATGTGAGGGTGGGAAATGCTTGAGGGGCAACTTGAGGCGGGAGGTGAATGTCAGTGCATATATTCCACATCTCAAAGTCGGCTTGTATGTCATTCACAACTGCAGCCACAGCCACATTGAAGAGCGCATCAGCCAGGGGTGTCCTGGACGAGACCCCTGGCAGCTACTTGCAATCTGGCCAGTGAGCATATCTCGCATCCATGTGGCATTTTGGCCATCCTTGAGCTGCTGCAGTAGTACTTTGGACATGCCATTCAGGACTTCGGGATGCTCACTGCTATGCAAGCTGGCATACTGTTCATGCACGGACGGGTCGAGGGTCTCAAGCAGCGAGGCAAACTGATCGCTTGTGCGATGAGATCCTACAGCAGCTTCTCGTATGACTTTGTAAAAGGCAGATTTGACATCGAGGAACAACACCGCACAACATTTATGCTTTATGTTACCAATCTGCAGAAAGGTGCGCACTGCATGAGATGCAAAGCATGGCTGGCTGCCCTGCTTTCCGCCAAGCTGGGCCACTGGCATTCGGTGGCCAATTTGCTGCATTAGCTGATGTCTCTGGATGGCTTGGTGACATTTGGATGCAGTAGTGGACAGCAAAACACTTCGATAGCTGGTGATCTGGTCCTTGGGTCCTTTGGATTTCCAAAGCGACACTAGGGTACCACCCCTAAAAGTGAGAGGCTGATGGGCATATATGCTGGCCTTCAACATTAGGGGAAACCATAAGTGGGCTGCCTCAACATTGGCAATCGAGAAGAGCTCAGATACAAGCAGGTCCTCGCCTGGGGCTTTACCTGACTTGACACGAGCCATTGCCGTTTCAAGGTGTACTTTGGTATACAAGTCATCAAGTGCAATGGGGCCACTTGTTGTGAGCAAGTCTTGCGAGGTCTGACATTGCTGGACTAGTTCCTCAGGTTGAACAACTTTCCCACTTTCAATTTCGGCAAAGTATTCAAGGGCCTGATCTGACACTGCAGCAATTGGCATTGCTTTGCGGTTCTTCATCTGTTTGGACTTAGGAAGCAAGGGTCGCATCTCCTTCCATAGGTCGTTCATGCCACCGTGGCTTTCGGCATCGCGAGCATTGGCAGCAATGCGCTCGGCATATTCAGCTCGGCAGGTCTGCATTGCTTGGTGCAATGCCTGGCGCACTTGCTTGAGCTGCTTCATCTGAATGGCAATCCTATGGTGTATCTGCTTAATTGCACAGGATGCAGGCGAGGGCGTGGTTACATCCTTCCATGCTTGAAAGCAGCACACAATGTACAGATAACGTTCCTGAAGAAATGAGCGGTTGGTGCATCTTTGGATGCGTCGCTTTTCATGCAAGAGGTCAATTGCAATCTGACTTAGATACGGTCTTACTTTACTCTTCTGCTTGGGCAGCGAGTGGGTGGCTTGCTCCTTCATGCCTTGCTCTATGGTAAAGGCATGTTGGTGCACATTCTGTGTGAAGCAGCTCTCGGCACAAGGGACACTAACCGGAACGGCACGGAGGGCTTTGCGCCACACTTGCACGTCATCAGAGCAGGCCGGGATCGGCCTCCTGTATGGCAGTGCTTGCCTTGGCTTGTCTTCACACCTATGGGGGACACTGGTGTATTGACACTGCAATGTAACAGCCTGGTGATCAGGTCTGTTAATCTGTAAGTCAATCTGCATTTCAACACTGGATTGCATCTGAGCATAATGCAAGTACGACCTGGGAACAGCAACATAGTCAATCCTGTGCTGGGTCAGCTTCGGACTTGTGAACGTGTAGGGTGTACCTTGATGGAGTCCCTCAAAAGTGGAAGGTAAGCACAGGCCGAGGCGTTGTACTACTTCCGAAAAAGCAACACCACTGGGGGATGTGGGTTGGCCTTGCTGTGATCCTATCACTCCATGCTGTTCGGGCATCACATGGTCTCCAAGTGTGGCATTGGCATCGGCAAGCAACACTATGTCCCATGACGCATCATAGTTGTTGGTGCATTGGACGATTCTATCCCAATACATGCGGTATGGCTCCTGATCCTGCTGCTGAACAGGTGCATGCGCCACAACAATGATGCTCTTGTAGTGGGCATTTTTGGCTCTTACTACAAGGAGCTCTGGCTCAGCCTGAATTACTTTGAAGTGGTCACTCTCAAAGAAATGGGGATTGCCTAAGCGATCATGGCCAAAGGGGATCTCAAGGTTTACCCAGAGGGCAACTCCACCTCTGCCTTCTTTGGCTGCGCTACTTAGTCGGAACCATCCTTTGTACATTCCAGAGCACTCATGCCTCGCTCTAGTTTCCTGAAGTCCAGATATGTTGACACATTGTTCAGCAAACTGTTGCATGAGAAATATTTCTCTGGGATTGGCAAGGGGCTCACGATTGGGATGTGCCTTTTTGGCCTCCTTTTGAAAGTACCCTGGCAGTAGTGTAAGTACGTTGGCCGTACAGTATTTGATGCTTACATTTATTCCAAGGTCCTTTGGCCTTTCAGGAGCATCTGGATTAGCACGCATTTTGGCAAACTGATCGGCAATTCCTTGAACGGGAATTTCAGGCATCGGGGGGATCATCAGTTCACGTGTGGTGGTGTCTAGGCGTGGAAGTGATGGATCATTCCATGCAGCTTTGTGCACCAGCCACATCCATTGGCAACTGATCGAATCCGCACGCAACTGGCAAAGGATCTGCGTGATGTGTCTGCTACTCACTTGGATCAGGCCTGCACAGGCTTGACCAGCAAGGACATCAACTGCTTCGTTGAAGGGTTCACCTGAATGCGCTTTAACATGGATGTATTCTGGCATTCTCCAATTTTCAAGCAGTTGGAACAGACTACGAGCAGTACTGCCAAGCGCATGCTTGCTGGTGGTGCGTGATCTACCTTGACACATTCTTCCAGCTTCATTGGAGTCATATCGAAATGTGATTTCAATTTCAGGACTGAAGTGAGCCACAATTTGAATTGCCCACAGACATGCACACATTAAACCTTCAAGTTCAACTGGAAATGCACTATCGGGTTGATTGGTGTGGCCAGCAATGTGTCCTCCCCACACTCGACTTTGATCCGGCATGTTCCACAACATTACAACAGCCCAAGATCCTTTGCCCCAGATTTCGTCCTCACCTGGATCTCTGAATGTACCATCAGTGTAGAACGTGACACCGATGGGTTCCTGGTCCAGACACGTTCTGAGGTATGTGAACTCCTCTATGGTGGAGTGATGCCACGGAATATTTTCTGTGTCAAGGGAAATTATGTGATTGGGCCATGGATCAAGAACTTGAGTGGTGAGTTGTAGTACAGTGTCTACATTGATCCTATTCAAGATGTTCTCGGTGGGTGTGTGATCAACATGGTCGGCCGGCCTGCTTCCTGCACTCGGTGTGAAATGGACTGGTGCTGGAATGTGTCCCCATGTTGCCTCGACAAGGATGCCAGAGTGTAGATCTCGCACTCGGGTGTCATTCTCTGGCCACAGTCATCCTCCAGTCTTTATGTGGACCTGCATGTGGGGATCTGGATATTCCCCTGCAAGGGCTTGCTGGAGCACATGGTCACGGGTACACTGTGCTGGAAGGGCAATGGGCCAGTGGGTGATCCGATGCGGGGCTCCAGGTGAGTGCTTGTGATGATTCTGCAACAGCGCCGGAACAAGCATGCGGTGTCTCATCCACTGGAAGTGGTGAGGAGACCAGGCCAGGTAGGCATCAATGGTCTCGCTTTTGATGGGTTTCTCAACTCCCCATCCCAACGTTGTCGGTTCTGGGTCAATCTTCACGTACCTGACATCCTCCGTGTTGGTGACATGCTCCAGAATGGACTGAAACAGTAGAGGACACGTTGAGGGCGAGTGGATTGCGCATCGGCTCTCCATAGGTGGATGGTCCTCATGCTGTCACTGGAGCTTGGGTTCGGCACACGGCTGCGGCTTTTGAGACACGACTGCAATTTGGCATTGCTTGGTACCTCTTGTCTCCTTTTATTCAGGGGTGCTTTGGGATGAAAAAACAGGGTTTCAGGAGTGGTTTTAAATCTCACAGTTACAGCGGCATTTTCTTTGTGCTTCTCACGGGTGCTGTCAACTGGACAATTTCCAGGTCTATGGGTATTCCTGAGTGATGCTTCCTGGATGGCATCACTCATAAGGCACACTATCCCTGCTTCTCATCCTCATCTTCTTCCTCATCTCCATTTTTCTGCAGCGATGCGTAGCGGTTGTGGCTGGCAGATCTGCTGCGCTCACGCTTGTGGGGCTCGGCATTCTGCTTGAACTGGAGTGGGGACTGCTTGATCTTTTCGTCGGCTTTTGGTTTCTTCTTCGGGGGCTCCTTGGGACCCCGATCTTTGGCTTTTTTGCTTTTGTTCTGCTTGTCCTCAAGCTGTGTTGGCTTGTCTGGTGCTTCTGCTGGTGTGACAGGCTCTATTGGGTCATCATCCTGGTCCTCTTGAACTTCCATGGGCGTAGGTGCTGGCGGGAGTTGGAGGCCTGGAAGCTCGGATAGAGCTGTGCTGTCCTGTGATGGAAGCTTATCATCTCTGGTTTCAATCTGTGCAGCTAGGGAGTGCAGTTGGCTTGTGGCGCTTTTTTCATCATCCATGGCTTTGTTGAGCACCTCGGTCCACTGTTGCTTGCTTGAGCTGTATGCCTGGCACTGTTCTTTGTATCGAGCATTAATGCTGGTCTCAAAGGCAGTCCATGACTCGTCAAGGGCGTGGAGTGCATCTCTTGCCTTGGTTGCATTGCGCTGTGCTTTTGCTAGCTGTCTTCCTGCTTTGTGCACTTGTGATGGAACCGGTTTCTCATCCTCATCTTGTGCTAAGATGGCTGTGATGCTCTCTGCAGTGCTTTTGCCGTATGTTTGCTTGATGGCTTCGAGCAGCTTGGTTTTGTCGGTCTGCAGGGTTGTCTCCTTGACTGGTGTCATGTCAGGCTTGACTGGCTTCTGCTGTAGGTCCGACTTGAAATCCTCCTTGGCTGCACTGGTGACATCCTCCCAGCTGGTGGTCGTCACAGGACTGTCACATCCTGTGTTGCCGTGCTGGGATTGATACGTGGCAGTTGGGGATCTGGCTCGATGGCTTGCATTGCTTTGTGGTGGCTTGGGAAACGCAGGGTTCTCTGGTTCCTTCTCACTGCGTTGCTTGTTGCTGGTTGCTGAGGGGCTTCGGCTTTTGCCTTTCCCTTTGCCTTTCTTGGTTTTGCCTTTGCCTTTGGCATTCCACGTGGGTGGTGGCCTCGAGGTCTTGCGGGGCTGGCGTTGCTGGTGCCATGTCATGGGCGTTGCCCAGTTGGACCAGTGTGATCCACATCCTCCGCAGTATTCGTCATGCTCACCATTGGTGCCAGAGCATTGCATGCATTGCCAGCGCATGTGTGCACTTCTGTTCCAAGAGTGGTGTGCTCTCAGCGTAGATCGTGCCCAGCTGACAGTGTGTCGGTTGACCTCCGGCGGTGTCCTGCTGTTAAGGATGAGTATGATCCTTGCACGAGTGCGTTTGCGTCTGGAGCGCCTGTGGAGAGCGCTTTCAGAAGAGCGCACTATGGCTTCGCAGGAAAAAGGAAGAAGATGCGGGCTCAGCTATTCAGGCCACGCTTGGGTCTCGGGCAAACCCCAGAGCCGAGACGCCTTGGTCTTCCCAAAAACTTTAAAGTTCATGAACTCAGGGAGTGAGCGGGGAAAAGACAGACGTGTCCAAAGACACACATGCGCACATGACGGCGGAGTTGAACGGATTGCTTTGGATCACCGTAGAAATCTGAGTTTTTTTTGCTCATCCCGCGACGTGTGCTCCCTTTCTGACCAAGTTGCAGCTGCCAAGAACTCGGTGTACCTGGCGAACACGCAAAAAACGCCTCTTAGTGATTCAGCTGGGCCATCTGGTTCCCGAGGACAGATCCCTCTGCGTCGTCTTTCTGGGCTCCATGACGATTTTTTCCGACGCAAAGAGTCGCACACGGCGGACGCACAGGGCCATCCCTAAGCCGAAGGACCCAAAGTGACATGGTTCACCGTTGAGCCGTCGGTGAAAGGAGGACCCCCGACTCCCAACCCAATGACCGCGGCGCTAAATCGGACACGGATTGATAAATCACACGTGCAAAGCACCAACTCCAAGATTTTACTACAAACTACAATCACATGAATCACATGATCCACATTTCCAAGCAACTGTCGTGTGTGCTACACAGGAGGAATGACAAAACAAGTGTGTGCTTGCCCTCCTGACAAGTATTCAACAGGATCTTATGAGTCAATCTTGCGAAACACTTTAGCACATGTCACGTCTCAAGTCCAAGTCTCGTGAGCTGCTTTCCCCCCAAACGGACTCAAAGCCCTTGTGGATGGGTGTCTAACTCGGTCTAACAAACCTCACGTTGTGACATGGAATTTGGACGAACGTGTGAGTAAGCATTCCCAGTGATTCCATTCACCGCCACATATAGCAGGTAACCACGAGAAGCAGCCCTTAAAAAACAAAAGCACTGTGACTGGCTACTTACTCTAGTTGTAGTTGGGATCTGTAATTGGGATCCGCGGGAATCTGTGATAAGGCTCGGCCTTATCTCTGAGCAGGTTGCCATATCGGCAACTTCGAAGCCAAGCTTTGGCAACCCCAAACATTCTATGCAGCATCTACCCCTCAGATGCCCAGTAGTTATGAGGAAAAAGGGCGCCACTAGGCAACTGGGGCCCACATATTTCCAAATGGTACGTATGCAATACAACAAACCAGGACACCACTGAACACTTGGCTGACATGTCTCAAAGCAAACATCGTGCAGACTGCAAACGCTTATGAACACGCAACTTGATCATCACAGTGACTTGTAGGCCTGGTTCTTGGATCTGCGTTTGAGAAACAAGACCGCTCCGCAAATGCAGAACATCTCAAAACTGGACATGTTGCAATGAGTTCAACTGAAACAAGAGATCCCCACGTCAAGCATCTACATCAGTCGAGCGCTTGGTTTGCCTTTTCCAGGTGAGCTCGCGAATGGGAAGTCTGGGTCGGATTTTTTTGCAACCAAGTCTCGAGATGCGGCCATTCTGGTCCATGTCCAAGATGGCCATCAAGCGCTGGGGGTCCTGAACCGCTGAACTGGTGGTAAAAAAATCTGCTGAATGGCTCCGAGAACTGGACCAAAACAACCGAAGTTGCGCCAAAAATGTCGCCTGCTGAGTCCAGCGTCGCCCGAACTTCGAAGCAACAACTCTTGAGCGCATGTGGCTTCTAGGCAGTGATATTCACAGATTTGCAACGTGTCAATAACTATATCATACTATATCCATATAAATATGCGCGATACTCACAGATTCGCGCCAAGTGTCAATAATTATGTCGATATAAATGTGAATTTTACTTTGAAGCAGGAAGAAGCAACAAGTCATCTTAAGAAAACATATGTTGGCCATGTTCGATTCGCAAAACCACACAGCAGTGCCCCGCGACCGTCATCTGACTCACAATCAAAACCTGGCACAAAAATGGTGAACCCAGAACCATGTAAATAATCAGAAAGGCGGCCGCCCGTTTTGGGGTTCCGTGTTCATCTGCACGGGAGAAACTCGCCCAACACAGGGACAGGCAAACAGGGGTCGGCACGGTTGGGCCCAGCCCTCATTCAAACATGTTTCGACCATTTTTGATTGAGCATTCTTTTGGAATTCCCTACAGCATCAGCCGCTAGATGTTTAAAACTAATCAAACCTGCCCAAGTCTTGTCGGAGTTGATCACTTCTGGTACCAGCGACCTTGGAATCACAGCCAGCAAAATCCAAGCTCGGCTGCAGAACCAACGATTTGTTGGTTTGCTTTCAAGGGACTCCCCCCTCCCTCGAAAATGAGTTCTGGTGAAATTTCCTGGGATGGGGCCTGACAGGAACAGGGTTTTCAGAAGAGGCTTCTCAGGCCCCCTGAAGCAGCCCAAAAGAAGCAGCCGAATAAAGAACCCTTGGGGTGCCAAAATATGCTTTCCCTCGTGAGTTCCTCTTAGTTTCCAGAAGTGGAAAGTAACCGTGTGTTATGTTTCCAAGGTTAGAGCAGTTTAAACATGTCCTTTCCTGGGCTGTCCAAACTGATCCCCTGCGAAAAGTGGCAACCTTTCAGTGGCTTAACACTAAACCAACTGAAACATATATAAAAGCCCTCTGCAACAGGACGATGCGTTGGGAACCACCAAGGTCACCAAGTAGTTCTACTCCGTTTTGGCACTCGCTGTGTTTCCCTGTTTCCCCCAAGCCCACCCCCCACCCCTGTCCCCCAACCTCTCTCGGACCCATCTTCCATTTGCTTAGGCCCCCTGGAGAAAAAAAACACAAAAAACAATATATGTCCAGTTATAGATCCCCTTGAAAACCAAAAACGCAAAATACACACAAAACAACACCTGGAAGTATGAATGTTCACCCCATATTAATCAGCCCCAGCTGTTTTGATGGGTGTCAACCGTCCCAACCCTCCCCAAGCAAATGGAAGCCACTCGACCGGGTCCCGACGTCGCACCTCCCTACCCACCCGTCCCCACCGAGTCGGTCCCCGAGCGAAATGCGTCACGCGAACGCCGCGCCTCGGTGATGTCCAGGCGCGCCAAGGCGCTGCGGAACTCTTCAAAGTCCAGGTTCCCAGACCTACGAACACCGCCGTTTTCATCTTCATGCGAAGTGTCAGGGGCTAAAACCCGGCTTGGCGAAAGGATGTGCTTGCACGTGGCTCCTTACGAAGCGAAACGCTGATGCTGCAACATGTTCTATCCAAACGGTAACATGCAGCCTTGCAAACTATTGGGCCCGCTTTTCGGCGTTGTTTCGTTTCTTCCCCATTGGGTTTCGGGCCTTTTCGGGAGCAGTTCTTTGACAACCAGTTGAGAGATGCAAAGTTTGTGTTTTCCCAAAGTGTCCCTGGCCTGGTTTCAGCGCAAAGGCTTCCCCTTGAGGAGCCCAACAGCCTTTGGATGATTCTCGCCTCGGGATTCCGGACTCTGACTTGTGAGTTTCCCCTTTCCCAGGGCTTCACACAACACATTGAAGCAAGCCGTATGAGCATATACCCATCGATGGATTCACTCCTCTCCCCAACTTCTTGTTCAGCTAAGGAACATTAACTTACAACTATATCACAAGATTTGCATACACCAATATTATAATTTCGCATTCACTTATTGCTTGCTGTCATTTCTGCCTCTTGACTTAATACATCCATCATCCATTCTTGTCGGATATCCTTTGCTTGCTTTCAATTCACTCCCAAATAACGATGGGTTTGGTGTTTTCGTTCATTCCCAGGGTTAACAGGTACTTGGCGTTTCTCAGCCGTCCGGTTCCGTTGGTTTCTAGTTGCTTTTAGTTGGTTTCGTGGCTGGGTTTCCATTCAACTTACTAAAAGTTAAACTTTTAGCAGGGGATCAGTTTGGACAGCGCAGTTTATGTTCCGATGATAGACAGTCAAAGGATAACTCCCGAGGGTAAAGTTGATGTTACCTCCATTTCACCTTTTTGTAAACGGTCGGTTGGGGGCAAGAACGAACGGGTCCCCAGACAAGCAAGCATAGCATTTATGTTTCCACTTACTCGACATGGAACCCGAAAAGCGGCCAATCGACCTCTGTAACATGTTTGTTTGTTTTTTTTTTGTGGCGGGGTCCATAGAAATTTGGGATCCCCATCCAAAAAAGGGCCGCGATCCAATTCAAAAAAGGACGAATCCCTTTATTCTTCTTGCACTCTGCGTCCGCACGTGACTGGTGGGGAGGGTCTGGGGGGAGAGGCTATCCCCTAAACTCTCAGGGAACTTGCCTTAGCAAACCAACAAACAACACACAAACAAGCAACCCCCCAGAAAAAGAAACAGACTATGCCCCTCCGCTTTCAAGACCTGCACCCGGTGTTTGACTCTTTGACCAGCCAGCAGAAACCGAGAAGAAAAGCAAAAGAAGAAGAAAAAAACGCAAGCAAGCAACAGGCGGATTCCGACAGCCCGAAGCGTGCCTGAAAATACGCGCCTTACGGGCGAAGGGGTTGGCTAAAACTCAGCGGCTCAGCTGTTGAGGCCAAAAAACACGAAACTTGCACTGGGCCCAGCTTCCTTTGATAACCCCTACAAACAGTCCAAGTAAAACCCCCAGTTGCAAATCCACATCATCCACATTTGCTTACCATAATTTCAACACCTGAAATTCGGAAACCCCAACTGAAATGATCTTTTTCATGGTGAGCTCGCTTTACCCCTAGGTGAAACCGCCACAAATGCTACCCTCAAAGCCTAAAAGCACCAGTGGAATCGAGTCAGAGCCCTGCAGCCGCGAGGCTTGTCCTGATCGATGGACTGAAAGACCTGTGGCAGGCACAGTTGGGCAACTCAAGCCCTCATTTAGACATGTGGAAGCTTCTCAAAATGGTGGACTCCCTTCTAGTTTGTATTTGAAGGGAAAACAAAACGAGACCTACCATCTTAGGGGACCCCTTATTGGAGAAACACCCATGTGTAAGCCTCCCATTTGGTGTCCCTCCGAGACTTGTTGGCTCTCTTTAGCTCAAGTGGAAATGACTCACGTGTTTGTACGTTAGCACCCAGCAAAGAAAGGAGACCATGTTATTTCGCTCAACCAGAGTCTTAACGCATTCCTTCTTGCCATCGGGCTGGGCTGGTTGATCTCGCCTGAAAGACGCTGGGCATGTCCTTCATGCTGAGGCCGGTGGCCACGGCGAAAGTGGCCTCAAGCAGCCGTTTAGGCTGAAAGTAGACCATGGCTGGGCCCACTTGTGAGGGAGCCTATTTGGGCCAACTATTTGAGACCCCCCTATTGGAGTTGGGACTCAAATAAGCAAGCCCGAAGTAAGGCCTTAAGGGCTTATTTGAGTCCCCCCCCGAAATGCTTCCTGTTCCTGGGCTGTCCGTTTTCCGATCTCCCGCTAAGCGTGACTAACTTTTAGTGGGTGAAATGGAAATCTAACCACTAAACCAACTAAAAAGCAAAAAAGCTAAGGGGATGGCTGAGGACCACCAAGCTTAACCTTCTTCATTTAGAAACGACAATACCGGTAATGAAATTTCAGTCGGGGGACACGGATAGATGATTTCCCAAGAAAGTCACGCAGAAACTGCATGTTGGATCTAAATGCTGTATTGAGAAGTTTAGATTCAGCAGTCATATTTTTAGGGGCCATTGGCAAAACAGTTTCTCAACCATTTGCATGGGCAAGTTGCGATTTTGATCTCCTTCGTTCTTTGGACTCAGGATTCTGGACAAAGCTTTGCTGGGAAATGGTGAATCTTGAATAATGGAAAAATGTGTTTCCTTTTTGTTCCAGATTCCGAATTTTTATTGAAGGTCCCGTTTCGGTAATTTCACGGGGGTCTGGCATGTCTGCATCTTGCCTGGAACGCTTGTTTTCTCTTGTTGCAATGGAAAAAGCCATAATAAATTGGCTTCACACACTATGCCATAGACTTAAACTGACCCTTTGGCCTTTTTCACTGAAGATTTTGGAGAACGCTTTCCTGCGCAGGGTTGAATCTTGAATCCAGACAATATGAATTTCTTTTACGCAAGAGGTATCCAAATGTTCTTTTCTGCCCGGAGAAACTTGATCAGAGAACTTCCTCAGAAAGACTTGCTCAAGGAATTTTGCGAAAAGAAACACTACAGCCTGTCTACTCCAACCAGGCAAAGCTGTGGCACCCTCTGCAAAGCAATGACAAAACTCTATGCCTGCGCGCTCAAATCAAGGGGTAGCATAATATATATATATATATATATACACATGAGGTTTCTGAAAATAGCGGCCAGTCTTCTTTTGGTATCCCTTTTTGAATACCTTAATCAAAAGGGAATCCGAGTCCCATTTTGACAGGCCCCCATAAACGTATTGCACCAGCTGGTGATTGGACACCTCCATGTTGCTCGTTTGAGACCCATAAGGGGGCAAATGGTCATCACCTCGTTTGCTCATCCCTTACCCTCCCATCTTTTCTGGAACCTCAGAGAGGTCCTGGAAGACCATTTTCCTTCAAACGACAACCCCTGGTGGGTTCCATCTTTGTGGAGAGGCCAAATCCCAGCCAATGGTCCGGCAATCTTTGGGGGAAAAAAAAAAAAACCTCGAAGCACCGCACCCATCGAAAGACCGACAGGCTTCGTCTCTCAGCTTCAGGCGATCTGGTGGAAGCAATTGGCGCTGCCCAGGCCTTCCAGCTTCACCGGCCTCGCAAGCTGACTTCCGGGTCACGCGTTCCGGGGGGGGAAGTTTCTAGGGCGACTTTCCGCGGGGGTGTCAAAAACATGGAGTTGGACGCGTTCAAAGCGGCTGGCTTCTTTTCAGCGTCCCTTTAAAACCAACATGAAAAGGGTACCCTCCAAACAAAGACAGACCCAAACGGGGGGATGAAATACGGGTGTCTCAAAATGGGTACTTGGAAACGGGGTTGTGGGGGACGTTAGGACCAACTTAGACCTGATTCTGAGAGAAGAATGTGTTCAAATTAGGGCGGACCTTGTACACACATTACTCTCATGTGTTCTTCATCAGCTCCCCGACAAAACAAAGACAAAAGGGGGAGTCTTATCAACCAACCTGTGTAAAGGGTTCATTGGTAGAATGGGCGTGTGGGATTTTAAGACCACTTTTCCCCTAAACACAAGTGAACACGGCACCATGTCCTCTCCAAAAGCTCTTGTGCTTCCCGAGCGTAGCATCACGAAAGCTCTTGAATCTGGGCAACTTGCTGCTGACGAGTCACTGCTTGAAATACCTATCACTGAGAGGTCAAACCCAGAGGTCATTGCGATTCAACATTGGAGCCGTTTCATTTTCCCAAAAGACCCGGAAATAAAAGGGACACCTTTTGGGACCTTTACTAAAAATGGACCAACATGGGAAAACCAAAAGGTCAAAAGGCTCGGCTTTGGGCAAGTCAGTTTTGCAAACAGCCTCGTTTCGCTTCTCCTTTCAAAGGGTAACAGGGCTTTATAGTTTGAACATATTTTGCCCCGACTCCGCGCATGTTTTCGAGATTCCTTTCGATTCTAACCCCCGGCTCTCGCCTCGCAGACTTCTCCTCAGGCTCTGTCAAGTGCAAGGGCTGGGCAAACCAGGCCAGGCTCCGACACTCCTCGCAGGGTGCTAGGTGCTGAGGGGGGAGGGAAAATAAGATGAAAGAAAAGGCGCATCGTCCCCTTGTGTGCTCCCTGTTTGGACATTTAGCAGCCAGTCCTTCTGAATTTGCGTTCCCCCCCACCCTGCTTGTTTGTGGTTGCCAAGTTTGGCATACCTAGAACCGGAACCACTGTCAGGGGGAAGCGACCAAAGACCGCTATTTAAGGGTGGGGGTTTGTCACCCGAAAGGGGGAGAGGGCCAATTGTTTCCGCGATTGGTTCCTTCAAAACAAGCTTAAAACAGGGGCATCATGATTGCTGTAACTGCCCTTCTTGCTTGTTCTCTCAGGTCGGGGGTCGGGTTTTGGGAAAGCTTGAGACCTTTGAGACGTCCTACCTTGTCACCCAACAGCTTTGGCCACGGTGCGCAGCATCTGGTCTACCATCTTCCCAAAAAGTGACTAAATTCCAAGAACTCGAGAGAGATTGATCAGAGGTTCATGGTCATACCTGCCAACCCCAAAGAAAATTGGTGTTTTGCCCATGGCACACATGTTCAACCGCCCCTCGCCTGTGCAGTCAGCCGGGCGATGGGATCCTTGTTGAGAAGACCCTGCACCACCTGATGCTGCGAACAGGCCGTTGAGCTGTTTGGATATTGCCCCCTGCGTAGATAGTCGAACTCTGTTGCTCGTTCGTGAGGAAAAGGCACAACTTCCCAAGCTCTCCAAGGTTAAACATCCAACCAACTAGTAGCCGCAGTTTGCCCCGTATCAGCAGTCATCACTATATCCTGGATTGCAATGGTGATACTGTGGATGGACGAAATCCTGCACCACTTGGAAACCATGGGAAACCATTGCTTATTGGGATTTACAAGGGAATCGTCCTTCCAGCGTTCCTTAGGTGGTGCAGGATTGTGTCCATCCACAGTTTATTTATGAGCGTGTCTTTTCAAAAGCAACTCTTTTTCGGGGTTGCGCCAAGGGACATCCAAAAAAGACCCCGGGGGTAACCCGTGGATGCCCCACGCGTGCAAGTCGGGTTAAGGCGCACAAAGGCGATGCCTTCAAATGCAGGGGGCTCTTGTCCGCCAGCCATGCGGCGATGTTGAGCCACTTCGGCACAGCGAAACGCGGACAACGAACCCATCCTGAAGTTCGGCGGCGAGTCATGCGGGAGTCCCAGAAAGTGCGGGTCGGGTCAAGGGTTCCAATGGCTCCCGCTGGGAGGGTGGTTGATAAGCAGAGTTGAGCGGGCCAAAAGCTTTGCCACAGAAACTCATGATACCTTGGTTGACGTTGGAAGGGGAGCAACAATTCTCCAATTTTAGGCCAAACCACAATAAGCAAACATGGGAAAGATGTGTCCCAACGACAACCATGATACCTCTGCCTTCAAGGGTTCTCCACAACAAAGCTCCGCGAAAAGGAACCTTCGCAGCACTCGCGTTGAAGCGAGCCATGCCCACTCCCGACCGAGCTGAGGACAAACAGCTGTATATGAAGAGGCTTACCCCAACAAAAACTCAGTGACTTTGCCATACTTTGCAAGGCACTTCCAAACAGGTTGGGTATCTAATAAGCCCAAAGAGAACTAGGCCCCCAAACATTCCTGCCGGCAAGCCTAACAAATAATTGATACAAGTTGACTTCACCCACAGGTCCACATTTCGCTTTGGCTTCCCTAAAAAAACATCAAAAAGGCATCTTTCACAACGCTCAAGTAGGCTGTCTGAAAAAGTTAGAAGATGTAACTAGAAGGTCCTTCTGGTTTCCAGTGTTGATACCCTCAAAAAAAAACTCAACTAGGTCCTCCAGTAGAGAGGCTAGAATAAGGGTACCCTTTTTTCTGTAGTCTATTTTAGTAGGGTCCCGAACCCTCCCAACCAGAAAAAGGAACGGTACAAGGGCACTGGGGGACCTAGTCAAAACCGGGGGGCACCCCTCGGCCTTTTGGTCTCCGAGCTCCGCTCCGGAGCTCCGTCCGCGCCTCAGCGCTGAGCGCGCTGAGCTCCTTCAGCGGCACCTCGCTCTGCACCACCTCGGACCGGCGGACCAGCGGGCAACTCGGAGAAATGCCCAGTGGATTTGTCCATGGGGAAAACGACAAAAATAATCGGCGTCCCTTTCTTGGGAAGGGGTGAGTTTTTCTTGGAATCCAAACCCCAAACCCCAAAAAAAGGGGTTTAAGAGGGCGGAATCCACCGGGCAGGGCGAAATGGAAACCCAACCATCAGACCAGAGAAAAAAACAACAACGAAAAGAACGCCTGACCGTCGCACATTGGAAGAGAACGTTTAGACCGTCATAGAGTCGGAGCCAACCAACTTGGAGTTCGTGGATTCATACCCTCAGCCTTGAAAGTGGAGCAAATCATGACAATAGCATGCTTTCAAGGTTGAGTACTCAAGTAGACACAAGATCTATCTCCAGATTCAAGGGTTGATGACCGATCCTATCCCCGATGTACTGGCCTCATTATTGTACTATGATCAAAGTCACCCCGTAAGTGGTGGGTTCAAGAAAAACACCCCCATTTTGTGACCTTGATAACACCCAGAAACCATCAAACTAATGACCCCAGATGTACACTTGGCACCTCGAACACGCCGATGCAGCTTCCGACAATCCCCCTTTCAGGGGTCACTTACCCTTCACAAGTCGATCAGTGGACCGGCGGGTTCCAATTTTCAACTCAAGGATCCTACGGCCCCGCTGAAAAAACTCAAGGAGAAGTCATGTCACCACCGAAGCGAAATGCACGGACCCACCCTCCGAAGAAGCAACGCAAAAAGAGCTGAAGGCAGCTCTTCTCTTGGAGAAAAGCAAAGCAAAACACGCATGGGCTTTGGGCAGTCCGAGATGAGTTCATTCCTAGCGGATTTCCCTTTAAGAGGCTGATCCTTAAGGGGGCCTCTAGCACGCGCGGTTAGGCCGCTGCAGCATGCTGCAGCTCCGGCTCGTATGGCTAAATGTTGACCCCTGGATCAGCCTGCACTCTAAGGGTACCGTCTCTTTTATTTTTTCTAGTCTAATAGTGAGGGAACCTACCAACTTTTCTTTCTGTAGTCTCTTTTAGTAGGGGAACCCTCCCAACCAAAAAAGGGTAAAAGGGAAAGACCTTAGCCAATGGGCCACCTGAAAGGTTCGTAAGTTCAAAAAACTCTCTCCCCATTTTCACTCCCATGGCCCGCCGAGGGCACCACAGCGTGCTAAACCAAAAGCGCTTCACCCGCTGTTTCTGCTTAATTCGGCCCTACCCCTACAAATCAAAGTGCAAGCACTTACGAACAGGCTGGTCAACACCACCAAACTACAAAACAATACCACGAAAAAAAGGAATGATGGCATGTAAAAGCTGCCAACAACCCAAAAGGCTTTGGGTGGAACCAAAGCATTTTTAGTCGGAGTCGATCTTTCTCAAGGTCGTCTTCGGGGTGTCTCACAATTTGAGGCTCCCCACTTTGCACCAAAGCACCGCAATGTTGTCCGCCTGGCCGGCATTTCCATCTAGGTGATGACTTGGTCGTTGAACCGGTTTCGTAGGAGATACAACCCTTAACCAAATTACAAGTTGGGTGGCACACCCCCCCCGTTTTGCCCACAACTTGCTGATCAGGGAACGGGGGAGTGACCCCCATGAAACATCCCTCGGTGTTTCGTTCCAACAGGGCGGTTCCCTTTCAACCATGGTTATGCTCAAAAGCCTTTGAGAAAAGAAGCGTGTTTATGCAGGGAAATTCACATGAACCTGTTGACCACTTTGTTTTTGCACACCTGGGTTTGGACGATGCGAGAAAACCAACAGGAACCAACAACCTGATGTCCCTCCCCCCGTTTTCATACCAAAAATACCCACACTGGCATGCGACGGTCTGATTGTGCAGTCTCCGTACTCAGCTGGCGCCAAACGTCAACGAAACTTAGGGAAACATTGAGCAAGCTTAATTGGCGTATGCCCTGACGTTCCTTATATGGGTGAGGGCCAAATCCAAACACCAGGGGAGTGCTGGTTTTCGTCAAGGTTCAACGCAGGCTTTAGTCCTTGTTTCTGTTTACCAGGGTTGCATTTTGGGTACCTACCAGTAGTTTTGACCCACACCCATATGTTCACCACCACCCACACGGCCTGGGGGGTATGTCTTTGATGGTACCTTTTGGCTCTGCCCCCGAAAAACTGGTGCGCTTTGAACGGGAATCAGAGACCACCTGGAAGCTCAGCACATCGACCTCCTGCAAAAAATACCAACATGTGCCGGTGAACTCGGTTGCTTTCTGCTCCCCTGCTAGAAGTGACTAACTTTTGGTGTGCTTAATACGGAAAACCCATTAAAGAAGGCAAAAGGTGGTTCAGTCCTAACATCCCTTGGCAAAATGCACCAAAGTTAAAAAGGACCATGCAGGAAACACAGGACGAAAGGTAGCTAGGTCCAAGCCTTGGAAGGCACCCTAAGCTTACGAGCCCAAGGGACGAAACTGACACTTCCCACTAGGACCAAGTAGGACCAACTGAACCCGCTCTAGTTTGTTATTTTTTGATTTTCTCCAGGAATCAAATTGCGCTTACAAACTGCTCTTGAAATCCCTGATTAGTCTAGTTGAATTGCTTGCGAGAGAATGTGCGAAGATGACTACCCCAGCTTTCGTGCCCAGCAAGAAATCAGTTTTTGATTCAGGTCCATTTTTAGTGAAACTTATGTCAAGACAAACCAAAAGAGGTTCTTTTGATGAGGACTCCTCCCGCAAAAAGTCCTCGCCTGGAAGGGACGTCGCCCCAGCAACATCTCAAAGATCACCACGCCCAGTGCCTAAGAAGACCAGCATCACAAGCCAAAGTAGCGAGTGGATGGTCCAAACAAAGTCCGGGAACTTTCTCTTGCACCAAAATGGTCTTTCCGAAAAGCGACGAAAGTCCAGAGACTCGGGAAGTGAGGCAATACTCCATTTAGGGACCCTGTTTTGACCAGGGGTAACTTCCTAGTGGTTATGGCCATCATCTGCCATCTGCTGAAAGGAATGTGTCTTATGTTCCGCCGATTTTAAAAAAAGGAACCGATTTCACTACTGAATATACTTTTCTCATTTCGCAAGAAGACTTCAGCAACGGAATATATTCCTGGCCAAATAACCATAGGTAACTTTCAACCATTTTCAAATCGTTCTAGCGGTTTGCCACAATGGCCATCATCTTCCATCTGCTGAAGTAATGTGTCTTATGTTTAAAGGGAACCGATGTCACTACTCAACATACTATTATGATTTTCACCTGGATGGATCCCGAGCTTGTTGCGACCTTGCGCGGCCCAAGCTTCAGAGGATTCCCCAAGTGTATCGCTGACTGCTCTCAGTTGACTAGATACCTGTGCAGCTGGATGTGGGGTTTGCTCACAAGGTCCTTTGCATGAGATGACTCTTTATTGGAAAACCGCAAACAAGGTTTCATAGTTCAACCACTAAGTGGTTGAAAGTTACCCATCATCATTCGGCCAGGAATGTATTCTGTTGCTGAAGTCCGCTGGCAAATCAACAGCAACTCCTGTAGGAAGCTGTCCCACCAGGGTCCGGTGGCTCGTTGCTCGCATGGCTCCTTGTAAACCCGAGCGAAATTACGATTGCCTTCTTTGAGCATGTTTGAGCATGTTTGTGGAGCCGGTGTCAAGCAAGTGAGATTCCTGGAAGGAGGGCAAGAACAAATGATCCTGAAATCCTCTTGGGGTTTCATCCAGGGTTTCACTTTTTGACTACATCAGGGTAGACTTAAACCCACGGTGGTTCGTTCCCCCAAAAAAAAGAACCCCGGGTTAAAGTCTATCTTGGGGGTGGAACCCTGCAGTCATCTGAAAGCTCGGAGCGGCCCTGTTGACCTTTCTTCATTTTCGCAGGGGACTTCAGCAACGGAATATGTTATTTCGGCACCCAAATGACCATGGGTAACTTTTAACCATTGCGTGGTTGAAATTTCAACTATTTTGTGCGGCACAGCTTGCTGCTTTGCGTGCATGTGTTGATGCTTCTGGTTCCATGCAGATGTGCCAAACAGTTGAAACCGCAACCCTTCAGGCCGCGGGGTTGGACGTACATTGGGCCGATGTCACATTCGGCAGCCAAGGCGCACACATTTTAAGTCGCCTGCCAAAGGGCGAAAGAAATACCAGGCTCCACCTTTTAGACCCCTGGCTAATGAGGGTCCTGGAAGGAGGGCAAAAAGGGTTCTAAAAAGAGTAAGAAAGCCTAAGTAACTCTTCCCTGGGGTTTGGTCATCCAGGCTTGACTAGCGGACCCAAGCGAGGTGGACCCCCACATGTTGCTCGGGTGCAGCACCCGAAGTCAGAAACCCAAACCTCCATGTGCTTTTTCGTCCCCTGGAGGAAAAAACAATAAAATATGTCCAGTAGTGAAAAACATCCCTTGAAAACCAACAGGGGAAAATTATTCTTAACCCAACGGAAGCAACGGTCAAAACCTCTGAGGTGCAGGCCCAGAGGTCGCTCTTCTCGGTCAAGTGGCCCTGCACGGAGGGGTTGCTATAACCCCCAACCATTTCTGCCTAGAGATGCCAAGCGACCCTGATAGACAAAGGGGCGGCATTCGTCATTCTTTGGTCTCTGCCCTTGTGATCTTTCCTTTTTTTCATGGAGTGTGTCTTGCGGGAAATTGAATCCTTTTGGCTGGGCTTGAGGGCAAACCGCGAAGAAAAGCCATATTGCGGGACTCCTTAGTCATAAAATATGTTTTAGCAACCACTTTTTCTCATGGCACCCCTCCGGTCACGAATCCTTGGGCCTTTTGAAAAATGAAACCAAACAGTTGGCAAGTTGTGGGCATGATCCGGGTAGATGGCTCTTCCGGATGATGCTTGGGTCAAAGGCTTAAGTCCACGGGTCCTCTGATAGAAATGGGATACGCAAAGGAATGTTCAGATGTCGCTCAATTTTTGGTCAACCCCATGCTTCAGCGTAAGGAAGGCACACGCAGCCTTGCTCGCTCTTGTGCCTGCCTTGAGCCCTGAAACTCCGGGGGTCACATCTGCGAGCCACAAAGGTCTGTTTGGGGTGCCCCACAAACACAATCAGAGGAAAGTGTTGGAGACGCGGGTCATGCAATCACTTGACCGTGTGTTTGGAGTGATCAGGGGAATGGGGCCAGGGGAAATTGGGAATATGTGTTGACAACCTACGAGTGGTGTCTTCGGCAAGAATGCGAAGGGACATTAATATGTGACCCCTTTGGTTTGACAAAAATTCAGTCACAAACAATTGGTCGCCGGACCGCTTCTGGGCGGGTAAAAGAACAAACGGTTCGAGGGCAAACACGGTTCCCACACCCTAAAAGTTATTCTGAGTGCATGAGAAACCAACCGGAAATGGGTGTGTCTTTGCACGGAGCCCCAAATGGTTTCTCTTGCATTCCCCTTGAAACCACCCAAAAAGGGTACCCCATCCCACCCCAAGCGTGCACAAACCTCGCCCTCGCCAAAAGCAAAGCAGAAACACCGGGCGCTCGGAATTCCCCACCCCCCCAAACCCCCCCCCCCGAACCCCTCCAAACCCCCCCAAACCCCCCCAAACCCCCCCAAAAGCCGCCTCCCTGGGCCAAAGCTGCCCCGGCCAACCAAGCGAGAAAACAAAGCCGAGCGCCGCTTGCCTCAAAGCCCTCGGGGGCGAGGTACACGGCGGTGCCCCTCACCTTCAAAGGCCCCGCCGGCTGCCGCGCCTCGCGCTCGGCGCTATGCGCTCGGCTTCGAGAAAGGGAATGAGACTAGGTCCTGCAGTAGAGAGGTGAAGTTGGTACCCATGTTTCTTTTCTGTCGTGCATTCCAGTAGGGAACCCTCCCCCCCAAAAAAGGGTACACGAGCACGGGGGGAACTAGGAGAAATGGAATGATCAAGACCAACTTGCTGGTGCGATAAGTAGGGGAATGTAGGAATGAACCCAGGGGTCCCCACAGGAAACCACCGATGGTTTACAGGGGTCTTTCCCGAATTCCCTGCTGAGCACCAGCAAGAAAAACCATGACCGGTTTGGTGTCCTTTATCGGAAATCCCCCGACTTCCGGTTCATTCACCAACGCCTGGAACGGTCATTCCCCGAGCACAAGCAAGCTTTGTCGGGATGATTTGCTCTTTGTTTGTGAGAAAATAAAACACGTTCAGATTCTGGGAAACAGATTCTGCCCAAACATCGAACATAGTTTTTGTAACTTATTTTTCCAAATGGAGGAGACCCCGTTTGGGGGGACAAGTTTGGCATACCAAAGGGAGCTGTCACCACTTGTATGGGGGCAGCCTTATTTCCAAGGCGGCCTAACAAGGGTAAGGTTGACATCAAGAAACGACTCTAGGGTTGGTCTCCACATGGGGAGCCTCCCGCAAATGAGCTTCGGTTGCATACCCCATGTTTTGCCCATCAAATGCATTCGAATGCACCACGCAAGCCTTCAAATCCGCCGACATTGATCGGCGTGTCGGATACCTAAGAGAGGATAGAGGATAACCCCCCCCCTAACCCACCCCCCCGCCCGACATCTGATACTTGGGGGGGGGAGTGAGCCGGGGGCTCTAAACTTTAAACTGCAAAGCTTTATCATCTTTATCCTTGGGGAAACGTCAGGACCTCTGCCAAATATCCCGTCCTGTGACATGTGCAGTGCAAACCAAGGGCTTCAACAGACTCCAACACGGCTCGATTCCTACGATCGGCGGCATATCGGGGTAAGAAAGGCGGAAAGAAAAGGCTGGGGACAAAAATGCCAGCCCTCGGAGACCTTCAAGATCCGAAAAAGGACAAGGCGAAGACAAAGACACTAACGGAAGGCTCCCAAGGAAAGCACCGGGTTTTGTGGCCCCAAAAACAAAAAACCTCGGCGGGCGCTTGGTGCAGAGATTTCGGTGGGGCACCTCTGGTAGGATGATGAGCATAACACCGATCGAAGCCCTGTGATAGTTGGATACCTGAGTCATATCGTCATTCAAGCGTTCTGTGCAGTAACTTTGTTAGCTGGTAGAATTCGTTCTGCGTATGTCCCTTGCGCGATTTCAGCGTCATTTCTCGCCTATTGTTCTCCTGGCTCCGGCATTTAGTGCATGAAGCGAGCAGGAAGAACCTTAAGTTGCGGACGAGTATGCCACACATTGCCCAAGAAAGCCACCTAGTCAGACTTCAGGCAAGGGCGCACCGCTGTTACGTAGTCTGCAGCTGAACATGGAACGCCAAGACACCATCATTCTGCACGGCCTTTCTAGTTGGATCCGAATATTGAACAAACTTTACAGGTATATGACCCTTTCATTTCAGGTTCATCATCATTTAAATGGATACCAATCATTTGAGGCCTATCAATAGCCACAACCATTTCGGGCTTTATCTCAAACTTGGGTACCAGCCCAAGTTGGGTTTTGGTTTTCCCTCGGGGAAACCCTTTTTAACAGCCAAAGAAAACAAGGGCAGCTGACGAGTTCGTTGGTCTTTCGCCTCCACGATCTCTGCGATGCCAAAGTCCACTAGGAGCACATGGGGCGCCTCGTTCCTCGCACATGGGGCGCTTGGGCTGCGCCAGCAGACCCAGTGACTTCATTTGGCCTACATGGGACAGAACAAAAACATTGTGTCCGTCCGTTTTTTGGGTGTCTCTTGGATGGCTTTAAAGGGAAGCCATCAGAGAAACCAGCCATTTTGGGGGTTCACCAAAAAAGCAGGCACACCCATATCTGACTCTCTTCCATGTTTAGCGACCTTAAACTTTTAGAAGATCATCGAACATAGTCTTGGAGGAGACCCCAGCTACTCTCTCGTGTTTCATGGTAGGTGTCCTCCCACAGACGTGGTGGGAGGACGGGAAATTCAACTACATTAATAGGACAGTGGCGGGAGGTTGCCGTCTACTAGAATTCCAAAATCTGAACTTAGACAACCTAGGTCAAGGACCCACATCACAGTGAGTTTGCTTTACCCGGCAGTAAGAATGGGTGCGTTTTGTTTAATGGTCCCGGACACTTTGGTGGACATAATTTGCCGATTCATGTGCCCCAACCACCCTTGCACTGGTTGCCTATTCACGGTCATAGGGGCATGCGTCAACATTGGGGGACAGGGGTGGAAGGAGAGTGGCGGGTTCAATCTTTAAGCAAATGCGTCGCATCACCTTCGGGTCCCGCTCTGATTAGAGGCTCACGCCTGCGCACGTCGATGGCGCGCAGCAGCATGGCGTTCTCGGGCTTCAGGTCACAGTGGACCACGCCCTGCACTTCAAAAATAATTGTGTGAAAATAGATGGCAATCCAAGTCATTTGGGTCTAGTCATTCATCCCCTGTACTTACCTGTATCAGGGAATGGTGCCTATTGTCCTGGTGTAAGCGGTCCTTTATGAGGAATCCCTCACACAAATTCATTTGCGACAACTCGGATACACTTCTTCATAGCCTTCTGGTGGATGTACGCCAGAGCCGCGCACATCTGTTGGGCTGCGCTGCACGCCCACGCTTCCGTCACCGTCCTGGGGAAATCGAAATCGGGTCGATCCCCAAGCGTTTCCCCAAACATTAGACTGTCCCAACCCAAAAGGCAGCAAGGTTTAACCTCTTCCCAACAACAACTAAGTCTGTTTTTTCTGCGTTTTTGTGGCTCGGGGTTCAAACCGCCCATGGGCAATGGGAGATAAATATGTCTGATTGGCCAGAAACACAGGTGACAAGCCATGGCTTGTATCCAGCTTTGAGGAGCTCGAAACATACGGCCGGAGGCTGGTGAAATCCATACTACATTAAGCCTTCGTGCTACGTCTAAAAAAACAACATGCAAGTGACAGGGAGGCACCAACTTTGATTCAAATCAAGGCTTTCTAAGCCGCCAGAAAACCCTAGAGCCACATGGATGTATGCGTGTGTGTGTGTGTGTGTCTTTTTGACACCCTGGCTTTGCTTGGTTGTCAGGGAAACTAGGTCATCCAGCAGAGACGTTAGAATAAGGGTACCCTTTTTGTTCTGTAGTCTAATTTAGTAGAAAAACCCTCCCAACCAAAAAGGTTAAAAGGGCACTGGGGGACCTAGGAAACAAACCAAAAGGGCAACCGCCATTTATGGGCGTCAAGATCGGATCCCTTCAGTGCACCCCAAAACCAGTTGGGCAAATCGGCTTCGTCTTCAGGTGGAATTGCGAAAGAGAGGGGTACGCTGTGGGCCCAAGTGTTTTCCATATGAAATGGTGGTTTTTGCAGACGTGCAAACAGGTTGTTTCAAGGGAAAAACCCTGCTGTTGCTGAAATGGTGTTGTTCCTCTTGCTTTCCCCTAAGGTGCATGGGAATGCGGAAATCGATTCAACATCTTCTTGCAACATAATGAGACACACATATCGCAAACGCGTGCTAATGGTGGGATCTCAGCCCACCATGTGTCAGTGAAAAGAATGATGGAGAAGCATATTCAGGAACTTCTTGCATTTATAGCTCTGCATCTCAGCGTGTGATTTGTGCGTTATTACAGAGCATTCATTTCGGCAAGTGTGCATGAATGGGGTTGCTAAGCTTGCAAATCATTCTTCCACGTGCTATTGCGCAGGATGGAATCTTGCCACCAACAAAAAGAAGCTTCAAGCGGGTTGAAACACACGGAGCGAAGTTTCCATTTTCATCGGAGCAACTTGCCTAAAGGCGCACAACCTTCAAAACCAAAAAGGTGCCCTCAACAAGCAGGGCCCCTTAAAGCATACACTTGGCACAGAACAAAAATAAACTCACTTTCACCAGCTGTCTTTCAGGATCTCCTTGCAAAGCAGGCGGCTTTGGGTTTTTGGATGCGTGCTTTCAGGAACCTCGACTCACTATCGAGTGGATGGCCCACAAAAAGTCTTGACTTGTTTTATTCCCACTAAACTTGGATGCTCAGCGGGGAATGAGGGAATGACCCCTATTGACCCCTATAAACCATCCCCGATGGTTTCTTAAGGCAGGTTCATTCCCTCATTCCCTCCTAAGCACCAGCAAGTAAAACAGGGCCTTCCAAAAAAAGTGACTCAAGTCCATAAACTCGTCAAGACTTGCTTGTTTACCACTAAAATGGTCTTCCACCAAAGTATGAAGTCCTACATGGTCTTCCCAAAAAAAGCAATGGTCGAAAATGGTCTTCCAAAAATGGTCTTCCAAAAACGGTCTTCCAAAAACGGTCTTACCACTAAAACGATTTCCAACAACAAAAACAACCCCGAAGATCCCCCCGGACCTCGACACTGACGCCGAATTCCCCTTGCTCCACTGCGCGCCTGCCCTCAACGCGCTGCGCGGAAAGGACCGCCGCAAGAGTGCCGCCCTAGCCCAAGAGAAGTCGCTTGCCAGCTCTGCTTTCATGATTCAGTACCATTTAAGTGTCTAGGTCCTCCAGTAGAGAGGATAGAATGCGTTGGTACCAACTTTCTTCTGTCTATTTTAGTAGGGGAACCCTCCTCCAAAAAAGGGTAAAATGGAACTACTGGGGGACCCTAGGTGTCTTCTGGGCTGTCCGTTGTCAGATCCCCTGCTAAAAGTTTAACTTCTAGTGGGTGAAATGGACACCCCCACTAAACCAACTAAAAGGCTGAAAGCCTAAGGGCACAATTGGGAACCGCCAAGTCTTGAAGAAGGATACATTGTTGGATCGCTCTAAACGCGTGGAGAAATGCCGAGTGTTTAGCCCTGAAGCAGTTGACACTGGCAAGCGATGTGCCTTTTTGGGGCGCCAATTTTGGGGTCCTCAGTTTCGAGCCATCTTGAGGAAGGCATCAAAAGCTCAACGCTTTAACGCCAAGAGCAAAGATTGCAAAGGGCTCTCTGAGAATCTTCACCCCTTCCCCCCTCAACAAAAAAGAGAGAGCAACCCCAAACCAACGAGCTTTTGTTTGCCCTTTCAGGCTCCGAGTGACGCTCTGAGCCAAGAGCCAAGATTGCTCAGCCTCTCTGGGGGTCCAAGCTTGGGATTCCTCGAGACGGTCTCCAGTTGCTTGGTTTCCTCCATTTGCGTTTTCGTCCCCTAGAAAAATACATGACATATGTCCAGTATGGTAGATTCCCTTTAAAACCAACAAGGGGAAATGAAAAAACATCTTGACCAAATGGAAGTGTTGGGTCTGAAAATTAAGGTCTCGGCCTGGAACTACAGGACCAACAGCGAAACATTCGAACTGGCAAGTTAGAGAGCAACCCCCCGGCTTCCGTCAGAAACGAATTAGTGCTCAACGGGATTCTGGAAACAGGCACATATATCCATTCCTGTCGAACAAACACCAAGCGCCATGCGGCACCACAAAAAACTTGCAACATACATGAAGGCAGCTTGTATCTCCCAAGCGCGCCGTTCATCCTATATCACACTCATGTTTGGGTGGCTTATGGTAGGTTGAAACGACAATGGTATTTACTCTCCTGCAATCGACCACAGCACATCCACACTTGCTGGACTTTTTCTTGGGTAATCTCCCTCTTGGATGTGGCAATCTGCATGTTGGGGAGCATGATTTACTTGGGGTTGTAAGAAAACCCCGTGACCTTTTAATTGACCCTCAACACCGTCATCGTGTTTTTTTCTTCCTTATCGTTTTACAGGTAATTGGAAGCATCGGTGTTGGATGATAATTCTGTAGCAGTAGTAGCAGCAGCAGCAGCAGTAGTAGTAGTTGTAGTAGTAGCAGTAGTAGTAGTCGTAGTAGTAGTACTAGCTTCTTATTAAGCTCCTTACAAAGCTTCTTATAAAGCTTCGTCTAAGCTTCTTCTAAAGCTTCTTATAAAGCTCCTTACAACGCTTCTTATAAAGCTTCTTGTAGTCGTAGAAGTAGTAATAGTATTAGTAGTAGTAGTGGTAGTAGTAGTAGTATTAGTAGTAGTAGTAGTCGTGAGTAATAGTCGTAGTAGTAGTAGTAGTAGTAGTAGTAGTAGTAGTAGTAGTAGTAGTAGTAGTGGCAGTAGTAGTAGTAGCAGGAGAAGTAGTAGTCGTCGTAGTAGTAGTAGTAGTAGTAGTAGGAGTAGTAGTAGTAAACGCAATCGTTATCGTTTTTTTTTCTTCCTTATCGTTTTACAGGCTTTCCGCCATGCACCTCCCCCTCCGGACGAAGCCTTACATAATGTAAAGGCGCGGGGTATTCATACAACCCCACTTGTCATTGGGCCAATTGTGAGAGCGGACTCTTGGACAACATTTACATGATGTCCACCAACCCCTTTCCAGGATATTCCCTATTCAACTTCATACCCAGAAAGCACAGGCCGGCCTCCGCCCAGTCCATCACAATGTGCAGCGTCTCTCTCCTGGCTGGTCTTGTAGCTGAATGGGCGAGACGGGCGACGTATATTTACCCCCATGAAAAATGAAGGCATTTGGGGAAGTGGAGACTTCATGTTGAGCAAAGACTTGATTTTGGTGCGTTCGAGGAAACATGCTATGCAGGGTTGCTCGAAACAATCCTGGAGAGAATACCTTTTTGGTTACATCAAAAACATGGAACAAAACTAGAGCACGTTAGAAGCTTCAGTGCAGAACCTCAACCCCTTTCTGGCATCTGTGATCCTCGCCGGCTATTGGCCACTGCCCCCTTGTTCATAAGGCCATGGTTGAGATTTGTTGATGATTAGTAGACCAAGCTATCGTGACCTGACAGGTAAAATATGTCCCCAATGTCCTCATCCTTGTTTCAAAGCATTCCTGCATCTGACGCCCCTGGCTTTCCCCGTCAGCCGGACCTAAGCCATAACTCGATGTTGATAAGACCATGGCTCGTTGTCAAGTTGTGAACTTGACCGTGTATGGAAGGAAGGCTCATCATGCCATTCCCAGACAATAGAGAAAGATGAGGCCCAATGCTCAAACTTAAACTCCAGCAAGTGCAAACATGGTGAGTCTTTGACCCTCCCCCACAACCCTTACCTACTAGTTATCAAGGTCCAAGGTGAAAGCTCTCAACAAACAGCAACCAGGTCTATGTGGATCTTCGGGCCTACCCTCAAAGACTCATCCGATCAACAAACCCGGCGACGGTTGACAAGGCCAGTCTCACCAAGATGGGTGGGTTTCGCAAAATGGGGGTGTCCTAAAATGGTTGGAGTCCTTTCCGTTTCCCTTCATATACTATATCCACATTGGGTCCACCATGTGACTTGCTTGCCGACATAAGGCGACAGTACCATGTCGACAGTGCGACAGAGGGAGAGAGACACACCTGGCTGCAGTTTGAGGGTAAAGCCCTTTTCAGATTGGTTAAAAGGGAAACCTTAACAAAACTCCAGCGACTCTAGTTTCAAGGATCACCCCTGTTGCGCGTGTTGTTTTTTGTTTTCCGTTTTTTTCCCCGAGATTCGATTCGCCTCTCAAAGGCTTCGTAGATGCGAATGACGTTGGGGTGGTCCAAGGACTTGAGGACCTTCACCTTCCAATCCGTCTCCGGTCCAAAACCCCAAGCTCTGTAGCAGCTGTCGTAGCAGGGTGGCGGTAGTTTCCTTTCCCAGAGGGTCCCTTGGTACCTCCGGATGGCTTTTGGGGGGTAAAAAGAGGGCGTTCAGTACCTTAGACCGTACTTGGACCCTCTGGGTTTGAAAGAAAAGAAGAAGAAAAACCCTCCCACCAACAAACGCAAAGTGGGCAACCTCTCGTTGAAAGGCTACGTTCCTTTTTGGGAAGGGCTCTTGTGCGGCAAATCACGCTTGCTGGTGGGAGGGTATAAGTTGCAGTGCGACGCCTTGCTAAGCACCGATGGGTGAGTCAACTGCTTGCATCTTGGAAGACCTTCAATCTCTTCCCGGCAGGCAACAGCACATGAGGTCAAACAGCATCATGTACCGCAGTGGATTTCCGTGGGAAAAAGAATCGGCATCTTTTTTTTATATTATGTTGCTTGAGTTTAAAGAAATCGGAACCCTTTCCCAAACAAAGTCGAAAAAAGGAAGCAACCCACTGGGCAACAGAGAAATTGTCTCTTAGATTGCCCTTCTCTCCTTCACGTCAAGGCATGGCCTGCGGCCAATGCGAGCTGCGCATGGGATTGAATGCTTGCGACATACCGGCAAACCGGCAAAAAGGGCGAGCAAAAATGCACGCTGGGTGTACGAGGGCACGCTAATTACCATAAACTACAGTCTTTAATTATGGAGCTACACTTGTTTAATGAAACTACAGCATCGAATCCATGTTTCGTTCAAGGTCTACTATGTTGCCTGACTTCGGGCAATGTCCGAATGTGTCGCAAGTCCTTCCGAATATTCATCTAGAACCATGGCGATATGGCCCACATGATTGCGAGAGAGAGAGAGAGAGAGAAAGAACTCTGTCGATCCTACGCTACGATCTCTGCCACCGGACACAAATCACGTACTACTGTGGATGGACGAAAGCCGTTCACACCACTTGGAAACCCAGGGGTTCAATTGTTTAGTGGTATTTACAGGAAAATCAAATCATTCCAGGGTTTCTTAGGTGGTGCAGGATTTCATTCATCCACTGATCTTTCAAATCACCCGTGACCGTTCGCTGGTCATCCGCGACTTTCTTTTCTCGCGCTTGTCGGGCTTGAGGAATACCATGTTCGCATGAGCGAATGGCGCACTGGAAGACTGGTTGCACACCAATTAGGCATGTAGCACGCCTGCTCTTGCATACGGCACTCCAGTCTATGAGGCCTTAGTGGTGCTAGCAGCTGGTAGAGATTTGAGAGGTTAGAATACAAGTACCCAGAGTTCTGTAGTCTATAGTCGGGGAACCCCCCAAAAAAAGTGAAAACGGGCACTACTGGTGGTTTCATCAGAGTCACTGTACCCCTCAACTTCTTGGAAAAGGGCCCGTGACACATGTCGCTCCTTGACCCACAGCACCGGAACAGCTGGGATGAATTAACATACTTCACCCGCGCAAAACTTGGTTCCCCGTAGAAACAAGAACATGGAGGTCGAGTTGGCTATATGTCGCTCTAATGTTACCACGGATCATGGGCAGAGCTCTCAAGTCTTTGGTCAGGCCGACGGCGCAAGAGCAAGTTTGCGGAGAGAAAAACTGCCGCGTGTCCAAAAGGGGACCCCTCCAAAATAGGTCTCCCTGCTTTTGGACAGATCCGTTCACGGTATGAGCTCTTTGTCCGCTCACGATCGACTTCGATCGAAAACCACCAGCGTGCAGTGCAAGTCATGCAAAGGGCACATCCACGGGTGAGTCGTTGCGAGTGTGCTTGACTTTCAAACTTGAGATTGCAAGGCTCTCTTACCCACCACTCTTCACACATAAGGATGTGGCCCTCTGCATGAAAGCTGCTGAAAATTAAAACGAAGAATTGAGAACTCGGCTTCACTTGCGGACTCACAAGATTCCAGAAGCCTCAGTGGCCGGTTCTACTGCTATGCAAGCATCACATCATCAGTCGCCTCTTACACAAACTTGAAGGGGGGAACTGTCCGCGGTGGGGCGGGGTGCAACATTGTCCTTGGCGCTGTGCAAATCTTACGACGGGTTCCGTAAATCGATGAGTGCCGCATTAGCATCTCACAAGGTTAGCAAACATCTCCTTCAGATTCAGGGCCTTCAAGGGAATTTGAGCTACCCCTCGGCACCCCGCCCTATAACACTCTTGTCTTTTTTTTTTCCGGTACCTGTCTGGACGCTTCTTCTGCCTGATTACAAGGGGGGGGGCTATCCCGTCTTCAGGCTATCCAAGATTGCGACGGGAATTCCAGGGTTCCCATAATTTCGTACACCTGCCCGGTGCTTGCCCATTGGCAACGCAGGATTGTCCGCTTCTTTCTTGCCGGATAAAGGGAATCCCAGCAACAAACTTTAAAAAAAATATAAGTCCAGGTTCAACCCTTAAACCTAGGATCAGGATTCATGGGTTCTTCTACCGGTCTTGTTCTGCGTACTTGGATGTTGCCCACCATTGTTTGGGTGCTGAGCAGAGTGTCTGGAAAGAATAAGACACTCCGTCCCTTTGGGGCTTTTAAGAGACCATGAAGAAATATGTGTTGATTGAAATCCAGGCAAGAATGGGTGGCACCCGCGACAAGTTGCAAGGTGCATGAAGGCTGCATGTATTTCCCCAACGGTTCATGTTCAATCAGAGTCATACTCCTGTCTGGGTGTGCTGAAGAGGCAACAACAAATGCAGCCATGGAAAGGGAAATGCTAGAACAAATCTGTTTGGACCCCCCCCCATATGGGCAGTGAGGGAAGAACAGGAGGACACTGCCAGTACCATGAAGGCAGGGAGCGCTAAATCGGGAAGCCCGCGGACAACAAGAGCGCATCCATCCCATCTGTGGGGGATTTCGGGTTCTGCCGGCACGCTGCACCCTCGCTGACTTGTCCCTGGATGAAAAGCATGTCGATGTGTAACCCAGCATTCATGACTTTTAGAGGGGGACCTTCACTTTGGGAGTGAACACAGCCTAACAAGATCTAAGAAACCGCCAACCTTGACAGGACATCCCACCCTCCCATCTTGAATCCCATTTTGAGGGAGGATGCTGCAACAAGACAAGCTTCGCTCTGACAACCACGCACCGTTTCTTCCCCACGAATCCTGCGGCTTAGGGCTGAATCCCAGCCGCAACAGACCATAGGCAGCGATCAGATCCAGGAGCACCAGCCTCTGAAAAGTTCGAGAGGCCGTTTCCCAGAACTTTCCCTGAAATCGCCACAAGCCCAAATGGCGCCTTCGGAAGTGGCCTGCCTCTCCCGTTCAGCGGTTTCTCTTGCGACTCATTGGACCATGCCCCTTCAAGAAGAGATCAGAACGAAACACAAATTCAGCAGATCAAAGACGTGGGAATATGACACGGATGCCAATAGAAAGGGTCGGCCGGCTCCGCTCCCAAAAAGGGCTGGCTGCCTGTCAAAATGTAGGTTCCCAGTTTTGCAGCGTAAATCACCGTTTCATGGGGGCCCGTATCATTCGGGCCATGTGAACATGTAACCATTGCGGCACAAATGGTTTGACTAAGAAACGTACAAATACTCACGCTGCGACTTGTGATGAACACAGGAATACGAGGAAGCTGCTTGCAAATCAGGTGGATCCCTGCCTCCTAGAGCTTTGCCGCTGGCTCCAAGCCCTGGTAGGTCTTCATGGTGAGGTGGTCCACGGGCAGAGGCACGATGTGGTCTGCCAGGTTGGTGGTGATGACGTGCTTCTCCGTGATCGAGGGGATGTCGGGGGTGCCGGCCAGGCGCATGACCATCTGCAGCTCGTCCTGCAGCATGTGGACCATGCGGACGATGCCGTTCTGGCCGTAGGACGCCAGGGAGTAGAGCACGGGACGGCCGGCGCCACAGGCCTGAGCACCCAACGCGCAAGCCTTGAAGATGTCGCCGCCTCGGCGCACGCCGCCGTCGATGAAGACGGCGAAAGTCTCCTTGGTGGCGCCTGCCTCCTTCAGTGCCTCCATCACCTCAGGCAGCACCTCGATGCCTGCACGGCAGGTGTCCAGCTGACGGCCGCCATGGTTGGACAGCACGCAGCCAGCCAGGCCAGCGTTGTACGCCTGCACTGCGTCTTCGGCGCATTGCACGCCCTTCAGCAGCACCTTCATCTTGGTGATGCTCTTCAGCCAAGGCACGTCCTCCCAGTTGAGGCCAGGGTCAATGTAGCTGCTGATGGCTCGGGTGGCTCCCTGGGATCGATCCACGCCGCCATCGTCCTCCTCGTCACCCTGCACGTCAGAGCCCTGCTGAGTGAACTTGTTGCGCATGTCCTCACCGGCAACTTTGCTCAAGAACCACTGGCAGAAGTACACGCATCAGACCCATTCAGACCCCATTTGGTAACTTGCTGGTGCTCAGCAGGGAATGAGAACTGGAATGAATGACCCAAACAAAAACCATCCACCTGGTGGTTTCCGTTCATTCAATCAACACCCTGACGTCCTTCCCTTCTTCTCCCAGGCTAAGTCCCTTCCGCTTGGCAAACCGCGCTAAGCGCGGCGTCCTTCTCTCGGCGGCCCAGCTGGGGAGCGTCCACGGTCACGAACAAGGCCTGCACCCCGGCCTTCTCCAACTTGGCGACCTGAGAGACGGAGCCGCGAGAGACCGCCCCGCGCGACCCGAAACAGGAACACGGGCGCCGGGCTCGGTCCTATATATAGCTCTTGGGGAGCTCGGACCAAGGTGACCTTCTTTTCTTTGGGGGACCCCCTTATTGGTTGGGTCTTCAAGGGGAACCAAAAGGAGAACCATCATTTACAGGGTTCCCTTGCAAGAGAACAGCTGCAAAGGGGAGAAGAGGGAATGACCGGAGGCCTGAAATACATCACACATGGCACATCATAGGAACTGGGAGTGAGCTTTAACACGACATCCACAATTCGGCGAATGCTTGGCTCCTCTACTTAAATTACTGTAGATGTGTTTGTAGCTGGACTCAAATTCACAAACATGCCAACCTGACGAAAAAACCACTCAACAAGAAAGCAACATCATAGGGTGACCTTGTTTCATCGCCGATCGGTGAGCTCGTTATCATCATTGGGTGGGGAGGGCCCCCACTCAAAGACTCCGGTTGCAGGAAGGCAGTTGCCTAGGACAGCACTTGTTGGCAGTTTCAACGGAACATCCGCTGTGCAAGCCATGTATATGGCAGTTTGATCAAAACCCATGCCAGCCACGCAAAAAGCTTGGGGAAATCAGCATCTCTCTTGGTCCCATCCACCGACTCCCAATATGTTTGTACGTTCACTCACCGTCACCCCCCCCCTCTTGAACTACCTGTCCACATTTGCTCATCTACTACCTCCACCTTTTGAGATAGAATGAATTTGTTTCCGGTGCAAATAGAACTTCAAATGCAACTGGTTTAGCTAGAATCCCTGTTTCGAGATAGTTTTAGATTGTGAACCTCTCTTCCCTTGAAATTTCCCTCTGGAACACCGTCTAACAAGTTCAATGTCGGACCTTCCTTATGCTACAAAGGGGCCAGAATGTAAATAACACAAATCGTATTTTCAATTTCCTTGTAGCAGTCCCTTAAACAAATTAGCCATATTTAATATGAATTATATTTGAGAAGTAGTCTCTATTTACTCGTGATTATCAAAAGCTAATTGAGTCGTGTTCGTATTAGATTTTATTTAACACTTGGATCATATTTGGGACAAAACGTCCATCTAACCTATTTAATTTTGTTGTAGATTAATTGGTGTTTGCCCGAAAGTATATTCACATTTTCATGTAGCTCCTATTTGGAAAGGACTTGCTTATTTAAGCTGTAATTGAACATAAACATGTTTCAAGACTATATCCTTGCTAAACCATATTCAAAATTCCAATTCTAGTTAAAGTAAAATCCTATTTGGAAAGGGTATCATACTGGGAAATTACGGAGGACTCCTGGCTCCAAATTATCAGGGCATATATGGTGTATATATATTATATTATATATATATATATTATATGTATTATATATGTATATCTATATATATATATATAATATACACATTGTCTATGACCTTTAGCGCCCAAACCTTGACCCTTCATCGGTCGAGCCGCGTACTCCTCGCTTCGGGACCGCTCCGGGTTGACGTAGAGCTGAGAGAAGACGATCTGATCCGGCGCCCGCGCTTCCAGCATCTCGTCCAGGGTGTAGGAGCCTAGATCAACAAAAGGCTGTGGGTCAAAACTATACCAGGGGGCCGCAGGTTCCGGTCCATGTTTCTTTTACCAGGGTTCTATTTTGGGTACCTATTTTTGACCCACAGCCAAAACCTACAGTGGATGGGTCGGAAGTCTGGACTTTTCGACGTGAATGGCCTGCCAAGAACGTAAGTGATCAACCAAAAACTCGCTTGAGTGGAGTCCCAAGCAAGGCGTCCAGTGTCTGGGAACATTGGTAAGGATCGCCACTGTACAACTGAGACCAACGACCCAAAACTTGCAAATGCTTCAGTGGATAGATCAGAAGTCTGGACTTGTCGACGTCTAATGGCCTGAACGCCGTACAAAGTTCAAAGTCCGGAAGCTGAAGTGAGAAACCTTGGACTTCACACCCGCAAAAATATTAGGATTCCAAGCCCGAACCTCGAAAATTGGGGCCTGGAAGAAAAAGAACGCACAAGGATGATAACATGATGTTTACCCTTATGGTTTTGTCATTGTTTTGAGGTAAGGAGTCAGGACATCGTGGTGGTTTGAGTTGGCGGCTGGCATTTACCCTGAAGAACGAGGGCTTCAAACCCCCACCGATCCAGCTCAGAAGCTCAGCGTCGGCAGCATGTAGGGCACGCCCGCCTTCTTGGCTGCCTCGCTCGACTCGAAAGGACTTCAGTGTCCAGTGGGTATGTGTCTGCTTGTTTTGGTCAGTTGATTTCAAAGGGACATCCTCCCCAAAAAAAGCGCAAAGAGAGCACTGCGAATGCAACCACCTTCACCTTGGCCCTAGCTGGTGGTGTGGATTGGTAGCAACTGGGGCTTTGAACACTGTTCATCTTGAAACCGAATGGGAAAGTGGCCCACCAGCGCCAACTAAACTAGGGGTAAAGTGACTGGCATCTCCTCCCGACTGTAGGCTTGATTCCTGTGAATCAATGCTAGTTGTTCCCATGTATGACAGGGTGTCAAAGGATTCAAAGGAGACGTCAAGGTGTTCAGTTGTCCAAGTGCTGTTTGGCCAGACTTGGACCTGCAAAAAGTCAACTCTTTTCTTTCAACAAAAGATGGAACCCACAAGGGCAAGGAGATAAGTTCAGTCTGGCAATGTTGTCTACATGTCTCGGTTTGCTGCTTTGTGACCTCGTTTCACCTCGAATGACCCACGCTATGAGTTTAACAAGTTCTATTGCAGTGTCCAGGACAGCGCCCCTACAATGATTTCATAGCCTGTTTAGGGGGACGGGTATGAACAACAGCAAGCTGCTATGCATCAAGGACATTGAGTGAGTGATGCCTGTGTTCGTGAAACAATGGCAACCCGTTCCACAATTAAGCATGGACTACGGTATTTTGGAGCAACACCTCAAATGAAATTCAACAGTTTCAACTACCTGTATATTCTAGAAACAAGTGTCGTCTGCAAGAGGTCTCAAGAGGGGCACCCCGAACAGAAAAGAGGGTCGCTCCAAAGAGCCAGGTGAGAATTTTGGGCCTTGGGAGCCCGAACGGTGTCATCCGTGAAGCCGATCTTCCATGGCTTCGTCTTTTAAATCACCTGTGTGGAGTCGCGGCCTTTGCGTAGGTGCCGGTGAGACATGCCTCCCCAGCATCAGCCCTGTGATTGGCTAAAAGGGAGCCTGGCGCAAAATAAACAACCCAAACAAACAACCGCTAGGTCCTCCAGTAGAGAGGTTGGAAAAAGGGTACCCTTTTTTCTGTTAGGGGAACCCTACGCCAAAAAAGGGTGAGAAAAGGCACCTGGCTGGGGGACCTAGAACCTAGCAGATTGGCTTCTGGTTGCCTCTTCTTTCGTGCCGACTTTAAACGGAACAGCCCCCTCCACCAAGAAAAGGTGTCAGCCCGCCTTCACGATGGCCAGCTCACCCTCCTGAAAACGTGGTGAATCAGCGCCGAGAATCCAAGAGCACTTCAGGGACCCAAAAGGCAGCAATCAAAACGTGAATCAAATTGTGCGCACCAGTGAAGGACTTGTCGCAACAAAGCAAAGGTCAAAGAAACAAAAGGACACAGGGGATTCCATGCCCTTCAGGGCTATGGGAAATGACCACTTCTGTAATACAACAAAAAGAGCCTCCCAAACACTACCCCTCCTTTTTTTTGCAGGGGGGATTCCCTTGTATCACAGAAGTGGTTGGATAAACCCCTTGTGATCCCACAAGCCTGAAATGCCCTTTGATTTTCTTGGGTTTGAATCTTGGCTGACGTTGGGTTTGGGGAGCAACACTTCTCAATTTTTAGCAGTCAAGCGGATTTGGATTTCAACCACTCAACCACAAGAAGCAAGAATGGGAAAAAGGTGTCCCAACCACAACCATGGAATCAGCGCCTTTCTGGTAGAGACCATCCCGGAATCCCAAGCCCGTAGCCCACCGCCACTCTGATCATTTCTGACCTATCGAGTTGAATGGCACAAACACATTCTAAACTTGTCTTTACCACCTTGACATGGTCTTCCCACCTCGGTGGCTCAAGTCCATGAACTCAGCAAGTGAGAGTTGCGGAGCTCGTTACAGGGATAGGTCAAGGAGGTATACCATTTATGGAAGGGGCAGAAACTGTCTTGGGACCATACCCTTTAAACCTCGAAAATAAAGAAGAACAAAAACTGTCCAAATCTCCAAAACCAATGAACATGCACTTGAGGAAAAAAACCGGAGGCACCGGGTCGGGTTGCCTGCAAACATATATGAATCAAAACCAGGTATAATGAATTAGTCGGGACCAAGACTGGGTCCAACAAAGTGACATCCTGAAACTGACCCGGGAACATGGTGGTTGCAAGCGAAACTCAACCCAAGGGACTCTTCTTCAGAGCCCTCCAAGTGTTGACATGGGACGATCCAGCCAGAGCTGGTGAAAAATCACAGGCCGGATCTCCGAACCTCTTTTTGGTCAGGTGCGCTCACTAAACTTCTAGGGCCCTAACCAGAAAGCACGAGAATCCTGTGATGCAATTCGGTTCAATACAATCCCCAACCCACTTGTTTCGGCCCACTTGCGACTTCAGCTACATCCTGACACAGCCTGGAGCTGCCGCTTCTCACTTTGAGTGTCAGTTCCGCGGTGGTCAAAGTTCGCTTTCGGGTATTGGTAGCTTGGTTAGTTGGCTGGCTTAGTGACTGTTGGGCCAAAGCCAGCCCAAACAAGCCCAAATAATCGCCAACCAGTGGCCGAAGGCAAACTGCGAAACTAGCACCAAAGCCGGTAGACAAAAACGCAACTAACCCTAAGCTCACCCGAAACCACGCTAAATCCCACACAATGTCAGCCAAAAATATCATTCACTCTGCCTGAGCCTACCCTATAACCCTCAAGCAACTCGGCCAACCCAAAGTCTGACCAAGCAACCAGCCCATCCGCCCACCCATCCGCCCTGCAGGTCCCATGAGGAGGACACCCACCTTCCCCGTCGCTCGAAAGTAAAGCCAAGGATGGTTCTCAACCTTGGCGCTTGGTTTCCTTCTCAAACTCCACCCTGTTTCTCAAACTCGGCCCTTGGATTCCTATCGGGTTTGATCATTTTTTCTTCTTCTTATTATTCTTTGTATTATTTTACTTCAACACAATCAACTGTTTTGGCTTTAATATAAGCCCGGCTTCGCCCTCCACCTTCACCACAAAAAGAGCCAGCGACCCGCTCGCTGCGGCTCGCTCGCGCCCTCTGTCTCAACATGCGCCGCGTCCTGGTGCGCGAGCTTGGCCAAGGCGGTGGCGGTGAAGTAGAGCGGCAGGGCGGACGGGACCCCAAGGATCTTCCTATTCGGCGGGGAATGGAATCCACTGTGATACGGCCAGAGGGCACCCCAAAAACTAACACCCCATATACAGGGGGAGATACAACGGAAAGGGATTCCCAAAACTCTTGTGTTCAAAGGGGGAGTCCCAAAAGTATCACAGAATTGGTTGGAGAAACCCCGAGTGATCCCACAACCCTGTTCCTGGACGATTCGGCCACGTCCGGAGACATCGGAAGCGAATCGGAATCCAAAGGGCCCGCTAAAAGTTTGAAGAAGTCTTAGTGAGTTAAATCAGTTGTAGTAAGTTTTAGTAAGTTTTAGGGAGTTTTAGTAAGGTTTAGTAAGTTTTAGTAAGTTTTAGGGAGTTTTAGTAAGTTTTAGGGAGCTTTAGTAAGTTTTAGTAAGTTTTGGTAAGTTTTGGTAAGTTTTGGTAAGTCTTAGTGAGTTTTGGTAAGTCTTAGTAAGTTTTGGTAAGTTTTGGTAAGTCTTAGTGAGTTTTACTAAGTCTTAGTAAGTTTTAATAAGTTTTAGTAAGTTTTGGTAAGTTTTAGCAAGTTTTAGTGAGTTTGATTTTTGAATCCAAGCACTAAACTCTAAAAGCCAAAAGCCAAAGGGGATGGCTGAACCGGAACGCAACTCCTCTGAACAAACCACACAGAGAGCAAAACAACGCTCATCTACTAACATAATACGGAATCCAACAAACACAAATCACCATGTGTTTTGGGGGTCCATGCAAGTTTGCACACAAGCAAGGAAGTCTGCGTGTAGAGGGCTTAAAAAGGGACACTGGGTAAAAAAAAAAAAAACACTGTCTTTGGGTTTTCAGGGAAACAAACAATGTGTTTGAGGATGAACAATCGAATGCTCAGATATCATCTTTACTGAATACACGATGCCTGTGGATTCTCCTTGTTGACTGTTTTCATGCAACCGCGACCTGGTTGAACTTCCGCCGTAAGATTTCAGAAGTATGGCCTCGCCGAATTTGGCAAGCACTTGGTGGGTTCCAAGCCCGTACCCCCAGTGAACATCCCAATCCCCACTAAAATAGGTTCTAAAATGGGTGGTGCACCTATCCCAAAATGGGACCATTGGTTTTGACCCACAGCCATTTGAGTTCCATCTCTGGGCATGGGGGAGCACTGTGATTCATATCTTTACCACTGCCATCGAAGGCTCCGAAGAGACGGTTTACGTTTCCGGCCAAAGCCAGCATTGTGTCGTTTTGGATCTTCTTTCTAGGTCGTCCAGTAGAGAGGTTAGAATAAGTTAGTACCAACTTATTTCTGTAGTCTATTTTAGTAGTGGAGCCCTCCCAACCAAAAAAGGGTGAGAGGTCGGGCACCTAGCTGGGGGACCTAGCTTTTAAGGGTCGGTTTCAAGGAAACGAAAGGGGCACCGCCCGATTCCAGGCTTTCCCTGCCTATGGTCCTGCTGGAAGGTCGGATTTGGCTATTCCGATGGGAAGGGCTGAAACAAGCTGCATAGGGCCATAATTGCACATGATTCCCTTGTGATCATAGCATGTGATCTTAACACCCCCCCCACCAACCCCACAATTCTAATCATTTAGGGGCTGAATTCAAGCTGCAGCTGCCATGTTGAAACCTATTCGGGGACATCCATGGGGAGGCCTGGATTCTTCGGTGGGACTCGCGGTTATACGAGTCTGGTTGGTCAAAATTACACAGGGAGAACAACATAAAACAACCAAACAGGGCTTGACTTTTGACCAGCCATGTATTCAAGCGGCAAAAGTGGGCGGTAAACGAACGGCTGCCAGTTACTTGTTGCATCATTGCTTCTTTTTTCCTGGCCACTTGGGGGGGGTTGTCAAAAGTCCGGCCACTTGGATAGCTGACTCAGAACTGCGTGTTTTTCTGCCGGGAGGGGGAATGGTCCGGATCGATCAAACAATCTCCATCCGGCATCCCCTTTTGCTAGTTTTTGGAAAGCTAAAGAAGCTACTCCCCACAAATAAAAGCAACAACAAAAAAAAAACATGTCTAGAGGAGCTTCTGTTGGGGTGCCCCCTGTTTCGGTTCCATGTGAATTGTTGAGCAGGTAGTTGGCCAGTGAAACGGACATGCGCTGAGTGCATTGCCAGCGGCGTGCTCATATCGATCTCCCGGACATTCACCAGGATACGCGGGCGCATGGTGATCCTGCGGATGCGCGATCCGGTTTGTGGCCTAGGTCCTCCCGTAGAGAGGATAGAATAAGTTGGTACCAACTTTGTTCTGTAGTCTATCTCAGTAGCGGAACCCTCCCCCAAAAGGTTAGAATACGGGTGCCCCTTTGTTCTGTAGTCTATTTTAGTAGTGGAACCCTCCCCTAAAAAAAAGGGGCGAGAAAGGGCACTACTGGAAAAAGCCTTGTGGCCCTTCCGACCGGATCTATGATCACGCGTGGCCCAAATGCTCAGTGCCGCCGCTTCACCGAGGGAAATACTCCTCGACTTTGTTCCCCTCGAAGGAAGATCCACCACCCCGTGTTTGGGTTCTGTCTGTTCATGTTTGGAAGGGTAGGAGCATTGTTAAAAGCACTCAGCGTACTTGCTGAAAAGCTGTTTCTGTGTGGCTATGCACCAAAAGCTTAGTCACCTTACCTGAGGTTAGCATCTCTCCGGTTTGTAAGCTCTTTTACGGGCAATAACACAGGGAGTGGTTCGAGGGTTCGAGCCATTTTGCTGTCACTGCGCACATGAGGGCTCCGCTGCAATCAGGCGCACCCTGTTTTGGCCTGGTTGAAATGCAAGCAAAACCCTGCCTTCAAAAAGGACATTTGGTGAAATCCGGCGATTCCTGTTGGCGAACCCTTTTTGTAATGAGCCAAAGAACAACTAACCGACATGTTGGATGGAAATTGAGCTCTGTAATTAGCCTTTAGCCCCCGATAAAATTATCACGACTTCAATCATCCCTGGCTCCGGGATTCGCCAGAATCTATAGCCAGGCCAAAGGCAACGGCTTGGAGTCACGGACCAATGCGCCTTTGGAATGCCAAGTGGTTGTCGCGAAGAGTGATCTCATCGTCACCTGCATCGACATCCGGAGAACATCCCGAACATTTTCATCTCTCAGCCCCCCAGGCTATGAACCCCTTGTGGGGTCACCTGCTTCTCCCAAGCACCACATCTGCTCACCTGGTTTCCCTGGCAAAGAAACATCGAACTGGGGGCTGACAACGGACAGGGACTGCCGTCCGATAACGCCCTGCTCTATTGGCCCATTTCTTGAGCAAGGCGAAAAACGTGAAACCAACTACTGAAGGCCATGTGCATCTAACAGCATGACCACTGCAAATTCGAAGCACGCAGCCAGGAATCTTCTCCATGGATTCCTTTGACCTCTCCCCCATTTCCGCAAGCTTCTTATGGCTCTAGACCTTGATCCCTCGGCTTCCCAGATACCTCCCGCAAGCCCACACACACACACACACACATCAAGTAGCTTTGGAAAATGAGGGGCGTCGGGCTCAAAAGATCTTAGGGGCATACATAGTATTTCCATGTAACCAGGTTAATGGAATGCCACGCAATTGTAGGTGTTGCCGCAGATAGCCAGAAGGGTGAACACTCGCTGGCGGCTTACCTTGCGGAGTTCATTCTGCTCGTCTTTGGGCTGTAGCGCAGAACTGGATTCAATCAGGGTTGGAGAAACTCAGAAACCCCTCGATTGCGTTAATCCGCTCCCCCTATTAATGAATGACCCCAATTAATAAAAAATGGAAATCCTGGGCCCGGGACCAGATTTCCACTCCGCACAATTGATTTTCCATTGCGCCAATACTAAACCAATACTAAAGTCTTGGAATCCTTATTAGGGGGCACTTTTAACAAGCTTCCAGCCCCACTTTTAAAAAGGTGGGTTCCTCAAAAGATGAATTCCCTAAAAGGTTGCTTCCCCAAAAGCTGGCTTCCCCACTCCCCAAAAGGTTTTCCCTAAAAGAAAACATGTCCCCAAAAGCTGTCTAGCTGCGACTGTCTCTCTCCCGTACATGCTGGCTAATTAACCTGCCTGGCTGCAAACAAACAACCAGTAAACTGAAAAACAAATAGAATGATACATCTTAAACCGCTTACTCGCGGACCTTACAATTCAATCCATTTCCTCCAATTCCTATCTGAACCCTCACATTGTTGGAAAAGCAACAAAAACAACCCCAAAAAACCCAATTAAAACAATAAACAAAATGGGGGGATTTATTTATAATAGGGGGGGGCCGTATTTATTAATAGGGGGAAGGGATTATTGCTCCATTCACGAGCTCTCACTAAACCAAGTAGGTTTCTGCTTCCATCCTTTGAGGGAAGAGGCGCCCAGCTTAAGTGGCCTTTGTTTGCGGAACACCCGGTGACTGGTCCGACAATATCAGCTTCTTGCAGAAGGTCAACATTCTACACAATCCCTGCTGCAGTTCCCAGCAACTTCCTTCTTTGCAGTCACGTTCCCAGAAACCAAAGAAGCCACTGACTGAACAACCAACCAAGAACAGTGAAACTTAAATCCCACCAGAAATGACGGTGTCTCGTCCCCACTCCAATTTACCGAATTCTTCCCGCCCCCAAAAAAAAGGCCACAGTCCAGCGCTCACCCCACCTCCGCTGGAGTAGTAGCCCCACGCCTGTGGCTCCATAACCTGCGGTCGAAGTGGGTCGGAGCCTGAGCCTCTGGGGACATGGGGAGAATTTGCTTCCCTCCAAAAAGCAACAGGAAACGCCCAAAAGATAGCAAAAGCCGAACCCCAAAAAGGAGCGAGCCTCAAGAAAAAAACAAACACACCCAAATGGGGCTTTTGCTCCGCATGCCAATCACCAAAAACCTGCGATTCGCTTCCCTCCTCCAGCTGAAAACTATGGGCTCTTTGCCCAGATAGTACCGATCATCCCTAACTCTGGCTTCCTAAAAGGGAAGCCAATTCAAAAACAAGTGTGAAGTCTTTGGACCGCAAAAAAAAGAAACACCACGGTGTGGGTGGCTTCCTTTTTTTTAAGGGGGGGGAACCAAAACAAAAACAAAATGAGTTGAACAAAAACTCCGGGCTCTGCGGTGGCTGTGAGCGCGGAGGGCTCCTTGGGACGGAGCGACCAGGGATGATCACAAGCCGCAGATCCAGATCTGTACCGCATGTCAGCCCGAATGTTTTTGTTTGTTTTTTGTTTGTGTTTTTGTTTTTGTTTTTTTTGCGATGTCTCCAGGGAAACATCATATCCAGCGAATCTTTACACCTTCGGATGGTTGACTGCCTAGCGAACTGGCCGGAAGGAGGGAAGCCTTTTCCCATTTTGTGACTGGCGTGCTTTTGGTCAACAACTTTGGGGTGTCTCTTCTTGAGGATACTTTTTGGGACGGCAAAAAGGGCGCTCCATTCGGCTTCCTGAATCCCAACACACAACTCTACAGGCGGGGGGGAGATGTTGGGCAGAATCAGGCACTCACCCCTCCCTCCCTCCCTCCCTCCCTCCCTCCCTCCCTCCCTCTCTCCCTCACCCACCCACCTACCCACCCACCCCCCGCCCACCCCCCGCCTCCCGTGCCACGGACTCGAAGTCGAAGCTGTTGAGCATCGCCTAGCGACCGACAAAAAACGAGGCGTTGGCCGAGGAAACCGCAGGGAGTTTCCCCTAGGTCCTCCAGTGCAGAGGTTAGAATAAGTTGGTACCAACTTTTCTCTGTAGTCTACTTTAGTAGGGGAACCCTCCCCCAAAACAACTGGTTTCTCCCTATAGCTCTTTTTAGTAGAGGCCCACCAAAAAAGGGGTGAGACAGGGCACTACATGGGGGACTTAGTCCCTATGTCGACGCAGACCCACGTCGGGAATGGTTGCTTTGTTGGCATGGGAATCCAAAACGAAGCCAACGATGAGCTTTTTGCGCCTGAAGCCATTGTAGAAAAAGGTTTTTTATGTCTTTTGCAGGGATCCTTACATTACACACCTGAGCATTGCCTTGTAAATGGTGGTTTTCCTTTATGTTGGTGGGAAAAGCCATGTTTCAAATGGGCGAAATGTAATTATCTTTTAAGGAGCCCTGTTTTGGGCTTGCCTTGTTGTGAATCCATAGCTTTCCCATTTGGTGACTCGACTGTGGGCCATGGGCATGGCTTTACGGGTCGACCATTTTTATCCCCACAGCACAGCTTGGGACGAAACAGCCTCGTCCCCCAGCGAAGTTCCTTCACGATATGTGTTAGCCAAGTCCCTTTTCCAAGACAGTCTGCCAGGGTCTGTGCGCCAAGCCATGTTTGTGAGGAGATATCTCTTGGTTTTTCTTTGATCCAAAGTGAACCTTTGAGTCTCAGCGGAGTCATAAATCTCAAAGTCTACCCTCCCACCAATTAAGATGGAACCTGACGTTCGGCGGGGTCCTGGTTTGGACCTTGTTCCGTACAAAGGGACCGGGTCCCTGTCAGGTTCCATGTGAAAAAGGTGCGAGGGTAGCAGTCTACTTGTTTCACAAAGCCATCAAACACTTGTCAGATTTTCCAAACATGAAATGCAATCATTCTTGGAAGATCCAAACAAAACAACGTTTTTACCTTGAACCCACCACATCAAAACGTACGCAATTTTCCATGCCTCGTGTTGCCCCAGCCCCCGAGTTTTCCTCAGCTCCGAGGTGCCGCCAGCGGAGGTTTCTTGAACTCCTCGACCTCCTCCTCCGCCGCGTCCGCCTTCACCTCGGGTCCAGCCTCCTCCAGCCTCCCACCCCCAAAAAAATATCAAAAACGGTCGGGCGGGCGGGTGGGTGGGTGGGCGGGTGGGTTTGCGGGCGCGGGTGGGCGGGTGGGTGGGTGGGTGGGTGGGTGGGTGGATGGGCGGGAGGGCGGGAGGGCGGGGGGGTGGATGGGCGGGAGGGCGGGAGGGCGGGTGGGTGGTTGGGGGGGGGGGGGGGAGGGTGACCCTGACAAAGTGTAAGTTAGAATCTTATGGAGGAGCGCTGGCTTTAGGTTGACATTCGATGTTTCAAGCTCCTTCCGGCCCCTTCATGTGATGACCGAGGTGGGATTCCCTGATACCGCGACAAATCTAGAGACCTCTCCCATTCACATCCCAAGTCTTCCCAATGCATTTCGGGCGAGCCAGCGGAGCTGTGCCCCTTTCAAAAAATCAAAGGATGCAAATCCAGAATGTTTTCCCTATCAGCTAGGTCCTCCAGTACAAAGGTTAGAATAAGTTGGTACCACCTTAGGGTCCCTCCCAACCAAAAAAGTTGGGTGAGAGGTCGGGCACCTAGCTGGGGGACCTAGTCTTGGTGTCGCCTTACCCTTGACTCCGCTCATAAAAACCTGGGCCTTCACCTTCTCGCCTCACTGCAGCCAGAGCGGCGGCCTTCTTCTTGGGCGCCGGCTTGTGAGCCTGCGCTCAAGGCGAACACACACATGTGGCCTTGTGGAAAAATTAATGGCTGTGGGTCAAACGAATTGTACCATTTTTGAAGTCGGTGCCCCAGACCACAGAATGCGGGGCATACATGTGTACATATATATATATATATCATACAATGTGTTGGCTAGGCACATGACCTCGCTCGCAAATCCCCTTTGTGAGGTCATATTTTGCCGAGATTAATGATATGGCTATGCACGGTACGAGTTGGAACCACCTCAAGAGTCTCCAAATTGTGTCAACCAAAGGTTCTGTCATTAAAAATCATGCCCATAGTGTCCAAAAAGGAGAAGGTCTCCTTTTGAAGAGTGGGTTTCCATCTGTTTCCCCCGGAAACCATCCCAACACGTGGTTGCTACTATATTTCAGGCAGACGTGCGTCTCATGCAAAGCAAATCGGATGGAACCTGGCGCTGCCAGATTGAAACTGACCAGTTGCACGGCCCTCATTCAGCCCGCTGGATCCCAAGCAAGCCACAGAAGGGCAACCCTTGGTATTTTACCTTTATCTCGGGTAGCAAGCTGTTGGTTACACAACCAGGTAAACGGATCCACTGGATAAGACAAACGCTGCACAAATCGTCGAACACTGCACCGAATGAAAAATCAGTGATGCCCAGAGCGCTAAGTAGCTTGCCCTCAACCGCTTGTAGCCCGTGGGATGTGCGAATCGTCGTTATGTAGGCAGTCTCAAGATGCAACGTCGTCATTTGCAGGAAGACTCTCGGGTACACTCATCAAATACCAGTCAGGTGCCCTAGCCTATGCTGTTTATGGAAGAGGAGTGGGCCTATGAAAGGGCACAAAGCCCTTTTCTGATCAAGGGGCCGGGCTCTCGTAGGAAACATCGGGATTCTCCTGTTACCTTTGGAGGAATGCCCGATCCTTGGATGATGAGGCTGTGATGAGGCTTGTTGCATCTTGCTACTTTACCTGCGCTGGAAAAGTGCAATTCATGTCCTCTACCTGAATTTGGAACATGTGCTGAAAGGGCCTCCCTTTCGTCGCACTCCAGCAAAATATACCACATACATAAAAGGAGTGTGGCAACAAAAAACAGAAGGTCAACCTGGGGTGGGGGTGGGTGACTTCTTTAAAAGGGATCGGAACCAATTCCTGAAGTCTACTTTAAGGTTTGCTCGGAAGATGAAACCCTGCCAACATGGAAATCTTGATTCTTTGTGACTTGCATGAATGCAACCCCACACCCCACAGGGTCGCCTCTTTTCCCGGAAACAAACACACCCCACTTCGAAGGCAACATGCTTGAAAGATTGCGACGGTTCTCAAACCTGAAGCTATCCTGGACCTCACGGAAAACCTTCGGCCGCTTTGATGGCTCGAGGCGATGGTCTGATGCGAGACTCTCGATGGTTTGTGGAGATAAATCCGAAAAGAGAGGTCCAAGCCATGGCAATTCATAGGCTCTTAGGGTCCATTAACGGGTACATTTGGCCCAGCGAAAACACAATTTGACCAACTATTTTGGAGGATCTCCTCGCACGAACAAACACGGAAGTGAGAAGGTCGCTTTTGGAAGGCTACTTGCCTTTCAGAAAGGGTTCACTGCACCGAACCACGTTTGCCGGGAGGCTTGGCAAAGCTATGGGTGCAGGGTTCCACTTTTGTTTACAAGATGGACTTCAATGATTCAACCCAGGGGTATCCCTTTGGGCGCAATCAACCACCACTGGGTTCAAGCCTGTCTTGGGCTAAAAACGCATGGAACTCTGCATGGGTGCGTCTGCATTGTCCATTTGCTTCTTCGCCCCCTGGAGCAAAACAAATTAATAAAACACATACCGCTAGTGATATAGAGTCTCTTAAAAAAACCTCTAGTGAGTCCCATCAAAACCAACAGGGGGAGAATTAAAATTGTAAACAAAGCATTTCAGCAAATGGAAGCCTTGGCTTCAGTGGCACCGCGAAACCGACGAAAACCGACCGCCTGCGGCGGCTTGGCCACGTGCTCGGGCTTCATGGTGGCAGCATCCACCACCTCAACCGAAACCGCAACCGCCGGTTTCGAAGTCGGAGGCGGGAACCGAGCGGCGGGGGGTTTTCGGGGCGGTGTGGAGATGTGGGCGCCCCGCAACACAAATGGCCATGAATTTTAGTATGGAATTTCCTGGAAGGGGTTGGTGGACATAAAGCCCCCCACCGAAGTTTAGTAAGGAATTTCCTGGAACCGAATCTGGGGGGTGTCGTTAACGGGGGAAACGGCCAATCGGCAGCGGCGGGGGGGGGGGTTGGGCGGGGGGCCGGGGTCGGGCGGGGTGGAGGGAGATTTCTTGGCTGGACATAGGACCCCGGCAGAGAACCATATGTTTTGCCTGGTTAGAGGAAAACAAAGGGGACCCCAAAAAAGAAAACAAACAAACATGGGGAGCTAATTCTGGCGGGAAACATCCCCCTACCACAAATGGCCATGATTTTTAGTAAGGCATCCCCTGGAAAGTGGTTGGTGGACATGAAACTCCCCACCGAATTCTGATGCGCACCAGAGGGTCCACCAATTCAAACCCAATTCAAACTGATGCTGGTGCATTACTCACCCATGTTTTCGTTGGGGGTCATGGCGGTCATAAAGATTCCAGCTGGATTGAAACAGGGGGAAAGGTCGACCAATCCTTCGGGGATCCTGCTTTGACCCCCAACCTGACTTTGTTGGCCCGTAAGCCGACAAAATGTAAAATGGAGGTCAAATAACAGGGTTGCCGGCGCAGGATCCACAGCAATTATAGACAGCCAAGGGTGTCTGCGTTTGGGTGTCCATTTACATATATTGTTTGAAACAGGCCCACCAAAACGCCATTCTGATCGTTTGGGTGAAGTTGAAAAACACCAAAAGCAAATCAGGGATCGCACGTTGATTTTCACCAAATAATTGCCCAAAAGTGCCAGAGTGCGAACTTCGGAGAAACCCGGAGAAGCATGTCAATATATCAATCATGGGTCCCTCCCTTTTGGGGAATCAATCCAATTTGAGAATTCCTCTCTTGAGTATGTAGCTGCCATGGCATGGTTGCTCTCCTAAACGGACCTTACGCAGGCCAAAGAAGGTCTATTCCAAGGGAAAACTGGCCTCGGGCGGGTTTCATGAGTGCAAAGAAGCCGGTGACGTTCCTTTCAGCCGTTTTCATGTGCTGACGGCTGTTTGCTGCACGCTGCACCACGCGAAAACATGGCTCGTGATGCGAATCATACACCATTGTCTGTCGATCACGTTGCGACCAACAAACGTTGCGACTGCACTTGGTCGGTTCTCTCGATGTGTTTTTCCTTTTCAAGGGTAAGAAGTCTGGGGCAAGTGATTCAAGCGACCAAATAGGGTCCAGGTGGTCCAATAAATTGGGACCTTCAAAGTGGGCGCAACGTCGCTAATCTCTTCCCCCTATTGATAAATACGGCCCCCCCCCCTATTATAAATAAATCCCCCCAATTTTGTATCTTTTTTAATTGGTGCTTTTGGGGTTGTGTTTTTTTGCTTTTCCAACAATGTGAGGGTTCACATAGGATTTGGAGGAAATGGATTGAATTGTAAGGTCCGCGAGTAAGCGGTTTAATAAGGAAATTTGATGTATCATTCTATTTGTTTTTCAGTTTACTGGTTGTTTGTTTGCAGCCAGGCAGGTTAGCCAGCATGTACGGGAGAGAGACAGTCGCAGCTGGACAACCTTTTGGGGAACCCACCAAAAGGACCCAACCTTTGGGGAACCCACCTTTTGGGGAAGCAACCTTTTAGGGAATTCATCTTTTGGGGAACCCACCTTTTTAAAAGTGGGGCTGGAAGCTTGTTAAAAGTGCCCCCTAATAAGGATTCCAAGACTTTAGTATTGGTTTAGTATTGGCGCAATGGAAAATCAATTGTGCGGAGTGGAAATCTGGTCCCGGGCCCCGGATTTCCATTCTTTATTAATTGGGGTCATTCATTAATAGGGGGAAGAGATTATTGATCAAATCTTAAGAAGACCCCGCGATTTTTTTTCCGCAGCTCACTCCCAGGTGGCACGTGGTCCACCAGCTTTCAGGCAAGGATCTCAAGTGACACCGTGTTTTTGGGGGTCGAACAGGCGATGGAAGACTCGCAGGCGCAAACCCAAAAATTGAGGTATGGGTATGGGTCAAAATTAAATCACCAGGGGACCGCAGGTTTTAGTCCTTGGTTCTATTTGCCAGGGTTCCAGTTTGGGTATATAATTTTGACCCACAGCCGTATGCTCCATGGCTACGCCGCTTGAGGCAAACATGTTTAGCCTGAGCCAGGTCGCCTTCTCCGGAGAGTGGCTATGATGTGCCCCCTGAAAAAAAAGTCCGGTAGTGAAAAAATCCAATTGAAACCAACAAGGGAAACTGAATGGCTGTGGGTCCACAGAAAGGTACCCAAAATGGAACCCTGGTAAATGGAAACATGGACTAAAACTTGCGGTGTCCTAGTGGTTTCATTTTGACCCACACCCAAATAGTATTCTTAAGCAAATGGAAGTGTTGAAAGCACGACTAGTTTTCTGTCAGGCTGCTTCTGGCTCTCAACATGCAACTGGAAAGGCTCTAAGCCACGCTCCCCCAGTGAGTCAAGAAATCCCAAGAAAGGAATGATTTTCCAGGTGCAAGCTTGTCCACTAACTTTCTGGTGCGATAAGTAGGGAAATGTGGTTTTTCATGAACCCAGGGGTTCCCTAAAAGGAAACATCACAAGGGGTGGTTTATAAAGGTCTTTCATTTCTCATTTGTTGCATCTCTCGCAGCAAGACGAATAAACATTTTTTCAGCTGCTGTGCAATCGCCGGGGATCCCGGCGCCCATGGTCAAGGACGGCTTCAGCAGCTTGTCCATGATATCCTGCCAAAGTCCCAGGTCGCTGTGCGGAAAAGCCTCGATACCCCGCTTCATTTGGCTGTGGCAACCAAAACACCGGAACTCCAAAAATGGCTTGCCCGATCGGTAAGTGGAAACGCATGGAAACCAAAACCTGCGGTTTTTCCGATCGCTTAACTTTGAGCCACACCCATTTCACGAGGCCCCGTCCATTCGAGCCTAAGGGGCAAAAAATGTCACTGAGCCCACAAAGCCAGGCATGTCTACAGGAAGAAGACACTCAGGGGTCATGCTTCTCCCAAACAGAACCATTTCGCCTTCAGTGATCATACAATTGCAATGGTTGGATCCTTGCAAAGAAAAATAACCTCGGTTGTTCACATTCCTTTCATCACTTTCCAACGGTTCCACTGGATACCCACCCTTTCAGGGGAACCACCAAAGTTGGTCTCCCAGTTTGGCGGGGTTCCGCCCGGTCCTGTTTTCCCAGTTTCCCTACCCCAAGAAGACCCCTCCCAAGTTCAATCGGCGACGCTTGAGGTTCCTTGGGGTGGATGGGGTCGAACTGGGCCGTGGCGTCCATGCCGGCCACGTCTGTGATCAGCTTGGCGCCGCCGGGGTGCACCTTGGCGAACTTCGTGAGGTCGTAGGCCTGGCTTCAGGTGACCAGACTCCCCTCGCGGCCGGGGTTTCTGGGGATACACCCAGAACCCTATGAAACAACCCTGGCCTTTACCATCCCTTGCGGTTTTCTGGGTCGCCGTTGATTGAAATTGCTTGAACCCATCAGGGTGCAAGTCACTGAACCTTGGCAAGCATCCGGTGAGGTTGTCAAGCCTTTCGGCTGTGTCGTGGCAGCTCGTTGCTGCTTTAAAGGTTGCAAACAAAAATCACCCGGGACTACGCCCGCAAATTGTCTGGGCTCCTGTACATGCAGTTCAACACCTTGTTGTTTTGGACCATTTTAAGTCCAACAAGGACCCACCCTGCCTTGCCGTAAAGCACCACCCAGCAATCCTCCTATCAAGACTTGAGAGGGCGCATTGGGTGTGTAAGTCTCAACCAAAAGCCGATCGGAAAAGAATCTCCAAAAGACTGATACTCATTACACGATCATGGAAGTGGTCTCCAAACAAAACAGATGTGGTCACTGGGAAGTACGTCAGTGTTCAAATCTTCCATGAAGTGGGCAAGAGGTCTTCTAGTGGAACATCCTCTGTGTTAAGAGAGAAACACTCACACCTGCAAATATAGCATGTTTAGTCTCGGGAAAAGATGGGAAAAGTAGTCAGTCCGTCCCCTCGTTTTCGTGGAACATTTCTGTCGCAGCTCCTTGGTGTTGTGCTTGGCCACCTCCTCCATACTCAGCACCTGACAGCTGAGATGGGAGGACCCCCCAAAACGCCCCCAGACCCCAGAGCGCGGGGAGTCAAAAAAAGGGCGCAAAATGCAAACAAAATTGAATTGACTGAAGTTTGGCTGTTGTTCTTGTTGCTGCTCCTGTGGTGTCGAATGCCGTTGCTTGGTTCTCTTCAGTTTTGGCGGGGCTCCCAAAAAACCGTCTCTGGCAAAAATGCTCTTCCCTTTGCTTCTTCGCCCCCGGAACAAAAATGAGAACCTATTTCCAGTAGTGCTAAATTCCCTTTCAAACCAACAAGGGAATCAAAAAATATTCATGCCAGCAAATGGAAGTACTGAGGCTTGGGAAGTCGATCGTCCAACGTGCCCCTCTTTGAAGCCAAGAACAACGACCCCAAAACCCATGGTGAAACCCACCGGCGGCCGTCAGACGCGATCGGACACGACCACTCCAACCTAAGGCTGGCTCCGGATTCAAAGGGTGGTTGGGTCAACATCATATTGTCTGGTTGACTCAGGATCACTCAGGAGACATAGCCCAAAGGGGGGGGATTCTCCCATTGCAAAGCAATCTTCCTTTCCGGCGTCGACATTGAAGGTCTGGTTCATGGCAAGCAAAACACCCTTCATCTATCCAGCTTCGATCTCGCTTGAAGCTTCGAGGATTCGAAGCTTCAAACCGCTAAACCGCGCTCAAAGGCTTTGACCCCTTGACCTGTTGCAGAGAGAAGAGCACCTCGAAAGCGGCCCGAACATGAGCAGTGAACTTTCATTGGGTCACAAAGGCCCTTCCAACCAAAGCCAAGCCTATCATTTGCTGATGGTTGCAAACTTGCAGCCGCTCTCAAGATGCATGTGTTTGTAAACTCCTGCGTCTTTTTACAGGCGGTTGTGTATTGCACGAATATGGTTTCTTGACGAGTCGAACACTTCCTGTCCGTCAGGGAGTGTGGCTTCATGGCAATGGGTTCAACAGTTAAGAGGACTCGAGGCTAAGGCTTTGAGTGTTCAATCCGTTCGGCCATGAATTTGATTGAATGTTGACCCCTGATTTACCCTGGCCCAGGCAGTAGTGGAAAGCTGCCAAATAAATTTAGTTTGGATTCCTGGCGTCCAAAGGCTCGCAGTGATTTGCTAGCCTTTTGTTGCCCGATGGGTGCACTTGCGTGACGTTGGCCCTTTGACCTTCTTAAGCACCCCAATTTGGAAGTATAGTCCTTTATTTAGCAAAGCTCTTCCGAGCTCGAAGCTTTCGCATTTATAACCTTATTTGGCATCAGCCCTTCTGAGCCTAAAAAGCCTTGCAGCATGCACGCATTCACTTGGTTGCGGGTGCAATCTGCAGGTACGCCTGTTGCATGGGTTCACGTGTGCAGTCTGTAGGCATGCCCATTGTGGGTGGGTGCACTTTGTCGCATACGCCGGTTGCGGCTGTGCTTCTCATAGGGCCTGTGTGGGGTCACTTGGCTCGCGTGAACGTCGAGCTTCCCAGGCCCCGAGCTGCCTTGTCAGAGGCCATGGCTGAGTCGAAAAGAGAAGGACAGTTGCCAGAGATTGAGCCGAACACCTCTGCGCCCGGACCCCCAAATGGCAGTGGCTCAAAACATGTGCCCAAAATGGCCCCTTAAATGGAAACCAAGACTAAAACGCTGCGGTTTGCCCCAGCTCTTTACATTCGAGCCCCCAAATTGGTTCTGGGCGAAGCTCTCTGGCCATGAGATGCCGTCAGGCCTCCGTCAGGCCCCAGTTCCAGATGGTTTTCCATAAAATTCCCTTCGATTCCGCAGGCAAACATGGCTGCAGGTTTTGGGGCGGCAAACAAGAACCCGATCCACGTAAGCGACAATCCGAGCCAAATCACGGTCCCTTTGGCTTGAGGTAGACATGGGCACGTTGGCCTGAGGCAAACGTTGGCGATGCTTGCTCCTCATCTCCTTTTGGCTCCCTTTTTTTCATGTCAAGTCTTGGATTTTTTTGCGCATGTCCGGTGGTTTCTGAAATTTCGGGAGGGTTCCTTCCAGTTTACAGCTCCGGTCTTTGAGCCCCCCAACAGTGCAAGTGGGTTGCGCCAGGCCCAAGGGAAACCAGACATTCTCGAACAGTTTTTGCTTAAGTCACAGAAAAGTGCAAGTTCACCCTCCATGTGCTGAAGTCCCCTGAAAAAATATAAATAATTCCAGTAGTGAAATTGATTCCCTTTAAAACCAACAGTGGATTACAACAAAAAACAAGTTAACCAACTGGAAGTCACAGACAGCAAAGAGGCGATTTCTCTTCGATCGGTTCTGAGCGAGTCTGGAAATCTCGGCAGCTCTCTGCGCTGCCAGAAGAACTGCAGAGCCAAGTGTGGGCACTTTTCATCAACAGGAGGCGTTCGTTTTTGCGTTTGTCTCAAACTCCAAAACCCCCCGTTTGGGTACTTTCCTGGATCCCCTTACAGCCTAAAACAAATGGCCGGAACAAAGACTACTGTGCCACTTCCAAGAGAAATTTCCTTTCAGAACATGGGAATAGAGCCAAACTCGACTGGAGGTCAGAGGCAGTCCAATCGAAGCGGAAGGAGAAAAAACAACTGGACTACACCGCTTCAACTCTAAAGAGCCTCCGCAAGGGCTTCGCAAAACAAGGTTTTCTGACACCATCAAACGGCCGCAGTCTTGTTGGCCAAGAAGAAGTTGCCAAAGCTGTGGAAAAGCGTCCGACTGGCTCGAAATGTGCTTCCGAATTGTCAACTCGCTGAGGTCTCATTCAATCCCAAAATGCCTGGGTCCAAGTACCTTCTCAGCACAGGGGATCCAAAGCCCAGCATCCTGAGTACTCGGACCCTGAATGCTAGAGGTTGAGGTGGTTGCAAATGAGACTCCAGCAAATCAGTTGCATGTGCACCATGGTGAGGTCTTCCGTTCAATCAAACCTAGCGCGTATGTGTTTCTTGACCGCGCTGCGGTGAACGGGCTCAGTGGAAAACCTGGGAGGTGCCTCCCTCTCAGACCGTCAATCCACTTGTGCACAGAGAAATGCAGCTCACTCTGAGATTGCGGGCGCACGTTGCACACGTAACGCCCACGTCCTGTAGTGGGGCAACACCATCGGGACCCACAAAGGAAAACACAATACCGTTCAAAATCACAGATCGTCCACGAGGCTGATAAAGCATACTTCTGAATTCCTTTGAATCCCTTTGAGTGTCCAACCTAAGAAAACCAGGTTTCTTCTTGAATCCCTTTTGAAATCCATTTCGCACCACCTAAGAAAGCCAGGTTTCCGATGAGTTGCCAGGAAGACCTGAGGTGTCTCATGATTCCACAAAGTGGGGGGCAGTCAAGACATGCGACACCCCACTCATAGTGGACAGGTTGGTGTTTCTCGAAATTGGGAACCCCTAAAAAGAATCCGTGTTTCCTTTTAGTGCCCTTTTAAATTCCGTTTGCCGACCAAAAACTGCTGCGTCTCCCAGTTTGAGACACGGCCATGAGGGGTGACTTTCAAGCCTCTGAAGGCTCCTGGGAGCACCTGATTCAGATGCTGAACATGGGCTCGGGCTTCGCCTGTGCAGATCGATCCAAAGCAAAAACCGCAGACCTCCAATGGGATGACCCCGCCAGGCTTCCCAAGACTCACGAAGATCTTGCGATCGGTGTGATAGGTAGGGAATGTGGTTGAATGAACCGGTTTTGGGGATTGCCGAATAAAGGAGAAACCACAAGTTGGATGCTTCTTGGAGGTCGTTCCAATTCTCATTCCCTGCTGAGCAGCAGCAAGAGATGCACCATGCTGAAATCGAAACTCCAACTGTCATGACGCCTCGCCTGCTTTGCCACCCAAACATTAAACCGCCAAGTCAATTTTCAAGAATCTAGTGGATGCAAAGTGGGTTTCGTGTCACCTAGCTCGACCCGGCCTTTTAGAGCTTCGCTGCTGGCTCCAAGCCCTGGTAGGTCTTCATGGTAAGGTGGTCCACGGGCAAAGGCACGATGTGGTCTGCCAGGTTGGTGGTGATGACGTGCTTCTCCGTGATCGAGGGGATGTCGGGGGTGCCGGCCAGGCGCATGACCATCTGCAGCTCGTCCTGCAGCATGTGGACCATGCGGACGATGCCGTTCTGGCCGTAGGACGCCAGGGAGTAGAGCACGGGACGGCCAGCGCCACAGGCCTGAGCACCCAACGCGCAAGCCTTGAAGATGTCGCCGCCTCGGCGCACGCCGCCGTCGATGAAGACGGCGAAAGTCTCCTTGGTGGCGCCTGCCTCCTTCAGTGCCTCCATCACCTCAGGCAGCACCTCGATGCCTGCACGGCAGGTGTCCAGCTGACGGCCGCCATGGTTGGACAGCACGCAGCCAGCCAGGCCAGCGTTGTACGCCTGCACTGCGTCTTCGGCGCATTGCACGCCCTTCAGCAGCACCTTCATCTTGGTGATGCTCTTCAGCCAAGGCACGTCCTCCCAGTTGAGGCCAGGGTCAATGTAGCTGCTGATGGCTCGGGTGGCTCCCTGGGATCGATCCACGCCGCCATCGTCCTCCTCGTCACCCTGCACGTCAGAGCCCTGCTGAGTGAACTTGTTGCGCATGTCCTCACCGGCAACTTGGTCCGTCAGCCACAAAAAGCACAGCAGGGATTGAATCCCCCCAAAACAACATATCCTCCCTTCGAATTGGCAACCGAGCGTGATGCTGAATACTGCTTGGGACAATTTCTGGGAAACCGCCTGTTTATATGATAGGAGGGCTGATTTTAGTGTACGAAATGTGCAGACCCAACCAGAGCATCCAGCCTTAGTTTGCCAAGCCAGGGCTAAGCTGGATGGTACCAGTCATGGCCATTGCCCTCTCAAACCGGTGGCAATTTCAGCTCCCCTCCAATGAATTGGATGGGTTGAATGGGTGGTTCCTCGCTTTCCTGGGTTCAACCAGGGGTTCAACCCACCAATCCCAACCACCAACTGGGTACCGGAAAGGATTGGTGTTAGTATTGGTGTCATGCAACTTGCGCCGAAGGGCGGCAGACCCACAAGTTTGAATATGGCGTTGAACACTCCCAAACAGTAAATGACGCCCAGTGGGAGGAAAGACCACTTTGCCAAACAGCAATCCAGAAACACACAGATAAGCATAGAGAAGCTGTCCATGTGCCCCCCACCCAAAGGGGTATGCTCAAGGTGGCCCAAGTTTCTGACGTTTAAAGTCAGCAGCCAAAATCATGTTCCGCCGTTGAGCTCGTCCCTGTGTGCAAACATGTCTCTGTCAGGTTTCTGCAGGGAAACCCCTGCCCGAAACAGGTGGGGATTACTCCTGAGATTCACAAGGAACCCAACAGCACATGGCTAAAGGTTCTGCAGACACTTGTTGGTTCCATGTCAGCTGGCCTCAGAAATTGCATGCCTTCCTTTAGCATGTTGGCCACCCCGTCACTAACATTGAACTGGGCTGCCCGTTTTCAGATCCCCCGCTAAAAGTTTTTAAGTTTTGGTTGGTTAGATGGACATCCAACCACTAAACATCAAAAGGATCTAAAAAGCTAAGGAACCGGATGGCTAGGAGCCAAGTGAAAGGAAACAAACTTGAGAAGGAGACACCAAAGGCAGCAAACCCCCACGTCGCCATCGGACATCGCCGAGGCGGCCAATGGGAGCTTAAAGGTCGAAGCTTCCAATTGACTCAACATGTTCATTGGGGACCCTTCGGTGGACATTGATTGAATGACATCAGCCACACAGGGATCCTTACATTATACACCTGAACATTGCCTTGTAAATGGTAGGTTTCCCTTTATTTTGGTGGAAAAGCAATGTTTCTTTTGAGGAGCCGTGCAATATTGTTTTGTTTTTACTGGGGTCGTCGTGCAAACCCAACCGAATCAGCTGCAGCTAACCCCAATGGGGCGGAAGGGCGGACCAAAGGTGGAAGTCGAACCCGGGGGGGAAGGGGGGGAGGGAGGGGGGGGAGGGGGGGAGGGGGGCAGGGGGGTAGGAGTGAATTTTCCATTTGGGGGGCGATTTGTTTGCTTAGTGCATTACTTACGCCCCCAGCCCCGGAGCTCTGCTAAGCTAACGGCGGCCTGAGACTGGAGCCACGTCATGCGCCGCAGACTTTCGACGGGATCTCTCAGTGGCAATTGAGAAGAGGCCCCTTTATCGCTCTCCAAAGTTCTTCAACACGGAGGATGGGAATCC